TAGTAATTTTATCAGCCCGAATTTGCAAAAATTGTATATATGCAGTTTCAATCTATAAGCTTAAAAGCTAACATTAGTCTGCAAATTAATGTAGAGGTAGACAGATGAACACATAGACAGATTAACAATTAATTTCGAGTACTGTGATCAAAAGTATTTATGGATTATGTAGAACATTTTGAAAAAGAGAGCGCCATCTATTCATCAATAATATAACTAAAACTTTAATAACATTTTAATACTTCCTATTTTATATTCGTATTTTCCTATTTTATTTTTTCCAAAGTTCTTTAAAGAGTTAAGCGACAATGAAAATAAACCAATTTCCTGATAACTTCTTCACTGAGTTACTAAAATTGCAAAAAATAAATACAAATATTTGTACTAAGTATTACTTTATACTATTTATACTGTATATAATTATCATTTCAATTCTCAAAAGTGCTGTTGAATACTTCGTTGAAATTTCAAAACTTCCATAATATTAAATCTATAATAACCAACTCTAAGGTTGCAAACTATTTCTTATATGTACACTCTTTTCAGCAATTATAAATAGTAGTATAAAATAGCACTCAAGTGATATATAACAGCACATCTGTATGTAGTTAATAACATTTCCGTTTACCTAACTTTTTATCCATTTTGACGCCCTGTTAACGGCAACACTGTTCCGTTGAGATATGTCAAACAAAACTGTGATCCAAGACAGCATATGTTAGTATGAGGTTTGCGATATGACAATATACACAAGATAATCCGTAGAACATATACCGATTAAGTGCTTGATCTATAAAGTTTAGATAGCTATTTATCTTTAACGATGAAACAAATTTTGCTCTTAGTGAATATATTAACTTGGGCAGTTTAGTCTCTAAGTCTGACGAATATGGGACTTAAACCACCAATTCTGATCACCGCAACCACATACTTTTTAATTTTTTTTTTTTGACGTAAATTTGAAGATTTGGTTTCACTAAGGCAAGACCAAAAGCCAGACAACACGTCCTATTTATACTTTATGGTGCAATAAATTTCCCAAACGTTTAATTTCATATTATAGTGAACTGTGAGTGTGAATTGGAGTTTCTTTTTTTTAAGTTACTTTAGAGATCGTGTTTATGCGGAAGATTTTCAGAATCATTGCGCTTTTAAAAAGAACAACCGTCCGGTTGTGGCCGAACTATTGCCAGCTATCGACAGACAAGTCATCGAAAATTGACTTAAATGGATCCAATGCTGTAAGAGGTTCCGTGATGATATTTAAATAATATTTTATTTTACATTTAATAATAAGATCCGAACATTAAACACTATATAAAATGTGATCAAAATCTCAATCGCTAGTGTATTTTATTTACAAGCACTTCTGGAACCACAACACGAATGGCTCTGTATACATGTAACAGTTATTTTATACATATTTTTGAAAAGAACCCAATCTACTGATTGAATAAATTGAATGAATATGTACATATATTACACATACATATATATACAGAACATATGAATAATATAAAATATTCATTTTCGACCTCCTGTAGAAAATTCACATAGCATATACGAGTATTATTCCATTTTTACCCCAAAAATTAGTATTCAATCATTTGAAACATGGCACTACTTGTTAAAAGAAAAAAAAAATAATAATAAATAAAATAAAATGTATCTGATATTTCGCTTATTGTATTTGAAGAGGGTTTATTGAAAATCAATTTCATTTTTGAATTTATTTTTATTTATTAATTTTTTTTATTTCTGTAAAAATTCTACCTTTTGTGTGTCCTTCTGTATGAGTCATGCTGAATGTGTTATTAGCAAAAAAAAAAGTTCAGTTTTAACCTTTGGAATAAAGTTAATTTAATACCACTTGATAGCACATAAATCTTCAAAAGCTTAACGACTAAGCAACTTATACCGACCGACATGATACTCCGAATCTGACAATGAAGTACCCAATTAACGTTTCCTCCGCATTGTGTCAACGGAAATTGAAAAATTCTATGCAAAATGGGAATCGCACTTAATTAGCAACTGTGTGAATATTGAAAGGATATAACCTTTTGTTTTTATTTTTACAAATATCAATATTTTTATTTAATTTTGCATTCATTTATTATGTGTTTTAAACTTTTGTTTGTTTTATTATTAATTTTTTTTTTGTATAATCCCAGGTAAGAGTTTGTGTTTGAAAACAAAAACTTCGAATAAAATAAAAGGTTAAGGTACAGTCATGTTTATTAATTTGACAACTTCAACACATAAAAAACTTAATAAAACCATTAAAATGTATCTAAGGATATATGTATCTGTCCCACACTTTATTTGCATATCACACATGCATTTATTCGTGTATTGATAAGCTTTTATGTTGCTTGTTCGTTGTTGTCAGTGTCTGTCAAATTCATTGTCGCTTCGATGACAGCTAATTTATAATATTTATTGGTCTTCGGATTAATTTCCAAATTGATTGAAAAGGGGAACACCCAAACCCGAGTACTTATATATACAGCCTATGCATCCTAAGCCTAAACAATAATATTTTTAAATTATTTTTAGTAAAATTTAGTATTTAAAATATTATATCTTATTTTGAGGCTTTTCCGAGTTATTGCAACTGAGCACTTTTACACTTTCTTAGCTGGTGGTTTTCTACAGATTTCCTCCCTACTCTTTGACTAATTCGGTGACTGATCTATGATCTGCATACCGCACCGTACAGCTAATTATTGCTCTGAGATTAGAAAGCGCTATGTAGGGCCGCCTGTCAGTTTTCGCGTATTTTTTATTAGAAAACAAGATAAAAGAAAGAAATTTTTAAAACTAAAAATTATATACTTAAATGACCATTGAATGACCATACAGCTTCTTCGGATACCATCAAGTAACCATCATGGATGTTTTTTTGAAATAGCTATTGACTTAAAGATATGTAGTGTTTAATACAAATAAAAAGTAGCACTAAATCTTCGAATTAAACGATGCTAATTTTGTTATTTATTACACCAACAACTAAATATCAATTCTGAAAATATGTTTCAAAAATTAATTCATTAATTTTTCTTTTTTAAATATTAACAAAAAGTATTTCAATATTTAAGATCAGTGAACGCCACTCGATTAACGCGACTAGTGAGTGCTCTTTGATTTATCCGCCCAACCATAAAATTTTTAGAAATGTTTTGTTCTTGAAAATTTAAAAAGAGATATATAGCCAAATTAATTAAGTTACTTGGAAATAGTTTCTTTTGTACAAAAATAGTCCGAAATGAAATAATAAAACTAACATTTTTTTTTAAATTAAAAAAATGCGATATATGGGTATTATAATTAAAATACCCGGAAATGCTGTTTTGTTATATAAAAAAACTAATAAGATTGAATCTTTTTTATTATCCTGCGGAGTACAATTTTCTGAAACTCAAATATTTAACACTTAAATTTTTTTAAATTTTCTTATAAAATTAAAATCCTGCAACTAAGTAGCTTACTAACATTAGTCATTATTATCCATTGCTTTGATAAGCAATGGCTAAAGAATGCATAAATCAAATGCTTAGCAATAGCCAGAATATGATGTCAGTACCTTTATTTCAGTATCAAAAAATGGGATAAGATACAGAATTTTAAACCCAGTAAAGATATTGTTAGGTTTTTCAACAGGCTATATTTCTCCAAACTTACTTAAAAGCATCTGTTAAGGTAAAACACAATAGATCTCCTAGGTTGCACTGACTTTTATTCTACAAAAAAAAATTTAAAGAAATTAATAATGGATTTTTGTAAAGCGTTTTGTTAACAACTTAATTTTGTTTAAATCTTTTTTTGTAGATACTATTGCGTAGATATAACTTCTCTATAAACATTTAAACATACAAATACCCCATGCTGTATATAGATGTTTTTAATACTTAAACTTGACTGCAGAATTATAAATATAGGAAGAAAGCTACATATCTATTTTCAGAGTCAAATACTGTATTTTTTATATATTCAATTTTTTTTTACTTGAAATTTTAAAAAAGAGGGTTCAAAATGTTTTTCAATTTTTTTTCCATTGCCTTTTATCTATGGATCTTTTGAATCATTATTTTATCTCAAGTGAGCTTTGGGGTGCATGACTGCCATTCTAACGTAATTTAATCGAATTTAGCAATATATTTAGATATATAAAAATATAACAAATTAAATAATATTAATTCCGTTGACTATTCTTTTAACTCCATCTGAAGATAATCCGTACATAGTACCAGATGTCTTCGTATTGTTATTCACCTTGTCCTTTCACCGAAAATGCGGACAACAATGGTTTCCTTAACGGAGGCTTTCTTTCTTTTTCATTGGAGCGGTGTTTTATATAGTCGGTTTTAAGCCCTATTATACATAACCTCATATATCAATGAAAGAGGTTTCGCTGAACACATTGGTTTATTATACACGAGAGATTATAGCTACCCAGAGAAAACCACTTAGATGCTGTGTATCAATTTCGATAGTATAGTGATAGGGATCGTGCTGGCATTTACCAAGTTAAATCCAAGCACTTACTTTATCTTATATACTTACTACATACCATCCTCACTCCCTTCCCTCCCCGAGACTATGATTGCTAATCTCCTATTTTAACTTTTTATACAAAATATATTATTTTAATAATAATGTATAAACAGCTTGATAGAATTCTAATTCAGCTAACAAGAATTGGATATGTAAATGTCGGTTTAAAATACGTTTAAAACTACTTCGCTTAACAACATAAGTATGTGATTCAAAAGAACGATTTCTTATCAAAATTGATATATTGTGTGCGTACACCCAATATTAGGTGTATGTACACATATAATATTTGTATATTAACACCTGAGTTTGCCATTATAAGTACTCTTTACAATATCTGTACAATATTTTTACTATATTTTATTTATATTTAAATTTAATTAAAAAAATTCTCATAATGCTCATATTAAACCTCTGATTACACTTTGTACTTTGCAGGACACGTGCTTGAATTGGCCGCGCAATCAGAAAATAAAACATTGAATGTTTTCTCACAGGTGTACAGAAGAATGGTCCCGCTGTCTAAGAAATTGATACAACAATTGTACGCGGAGTTCATGAGGTAATAATTGCCATACAAATTACAAGAGTTACTGCATTTACAATAATCTTCGTATGCTCAAAAAAAGAATAACTAACAAAAACCCCTTCGTTTTTTCTGTACTTTTTCAGTCATCTTAAGATTGGCAACCACAACAGTCAAAACGACAACAGCAATGGCAACAACAACAACAACAACAATAATAATAATCTTAGTAGTTTAGAGGATGCCATACATAAATTCTTCGTTAATCTATTTCCGGTGGCATACCATCAGGCTGTGCATTTGAACAAGGATAATTATGGCGAATTGCACGATGACTACATCAATTGCCTTAAGCACACATACGACGATTTACAACCATTTGACACGATACCCAAAGAGATAAAACACAACCTAATGCAGAGCGTACAAACGGCGACAATATTCATGAATTCATTGATCCAAAGCGCAAATGTACTGAGTGAAACAGATGAGCTATACGCTTTGTATCTGACAGATACATGCCAGAAGCACTTGCTCAAGATGAGCTATTGTCCAAGTTGTAATGGCCTACAAAAAACGCATGCGAAAACATGCTACAGTTATTGTATGAACGTTTTGCGGTAAGTAAATTTGTTTGTAGTTTTGTAGTATTGTAGTGTTGTACTATTGCCGTTGTGTATCTGTTTGCTTAGCCGCTGCAAGTGGGGCGGTTCGAACAGCAGTTCGAACAGTTCGAATAGATGGGGCATAGCTTGCTATGCAAGGGCATAGCTGAAAGCCAAAGGCTACAATTGCAATTGCCATTGCAATCTAATTAAATTGAAATTGCTTTAATGTTTGCATTCTTGAAATTCTGTTTCAGTGGTTGTTCGGCACAATATGCTGGTGTTTTGGATAGTCCTTGGTCGAATGTCGTAGATGCAATTGACAATCTAGTAACGACACACATACGCTCGGACAATGGCATTGTTACCACAATAAAGCATTTGGATGGCAAATTATCAGAGGCTATTATGCGTGCTATGGAGAATGGACCTGAGTTAGAGAAGAAGGTAAATATTTTGGAATGAAATTTTGAAAGTGAAAATTTTGGTTTTCGTTTTTTACATTATAAAATGAATTTCTAAGATTTTTCGTAATTTGGTTTTGCTTCGTTGTCCATGCATTATATGAATCAGTGTATTTTCGAAGAAGTCAACACAGATTATTTTGAACCATTTCTTGGCAATAATGGAAATCTCCTTGATTATTTAAACAAAACATGAAAATAATTTTAGCTTCTTTGGAAATTTTAGCATTTTGGAAATAAAGTTAAATTAAATTTAAGTGGAATTGAGTTTAACTACAGTTGGCATTTTATTGGCAGCTGTCAAAAACACAAGTGTTTCAAATCTCTATTAGTAATAGAAATTTCGGTTTGTAATTTTCAAACCTCCTAATTTGCAATCCCCCTAATCCACATTCTCCTTCTTCTTCTTCTTCTTCATTTAGCATTTCATTGGTAGTTGTCAAAAACAATACGACTTTAAGTTCTCTATTATGAAAAAAACTTATTACTTACCTACCTCCTGTAGCTCTTCTAGCTTCCAATTCTCCTTCACCAATTCTTCTATTTGCTCTTCCTTCTCCTTCACTTTCAATTAGCATTTTATTAGAAGTATTCAAAAAAAATATAGGTTTCAATTCTTTATTAATAGAACACATTTTCTCCTACTACTTCTACTACTAATTCTCTACAGTAAGGTTTCGAACAATAGTAAACTAAAGCAACAAAAATCCTTTTTATATTATTACAACTGTTTATTTTTTATTATATACAACTGTTTTGAGTATTGCCAAATACCCATAATCAGTGGTCTTGGAATTATTTTTTATACTTTATTATTAATAAATAATTTTTTAAAACTCCAAATACTAAGGGTTGAATTCGTATCCTACCAAATTCAAAGCTCAGGGTCAATAATCATTAGCCAACTGACCGTAGGACTAATTCTCTATTTAAAAAATATTGCTATTTCTCTATATTCTACAATTCTTCCGCTTCCTCCTCTTCACTTTCTTCTCCTTTGTATTCCTTTAGTATTTGATTGACAGCTGTTAAAAAAAAATTACAAAAAAATTCTATGGGACTTACTGCCAAAGCAAAAGCTTTATACTTCTCCTTACAAAAATTTTGAAAAAATGCTTTAGGCTGTTTTAAATTTCGAAAATCTGATAAATTGAAAAGATTATTCTACTCATATCATTATCGAATTCAGATAAAAGAGAACACTTGCACCCGAATGAAAATAGACCAATAACTTCCTCTCTGTATAACTTCCTCTCTAAGCATCATTAGAACGTTAAAAGGTAGAAGCAATTCTTTATATGATTTAAATTGTTGACGTACAATAGTAGATCTACAGCATATACTTTACGAGGGAGTAATACAACTGCAATAAGGTGCTCAGAAAAACAAAGTCCATAAGTAGTATTATCTCCTCTCAATTGTGGTGTGAACAATTAAACAGCTCTATTTTATAAAGATGACAGGGAAAGGTATTTCATTTGTTAACGTTATTTTAAAACTGAATTCACTTATATTTTTATTATCCATACTTCATTAAAACCTTCTACTCTTAATTCATGTAGAGTCTCAGCTGTACTGAGTATGTTGAATGATTTTCTAGTTTCTGCCAAAACAGTCCTCGTTTCCATCATTTACGATTTGTCTCACTGTCTAATCCGGTACTGATTATAAGTGGGGTAATCATCATCTTCTTTAATGATCACGTGTCCTATTTATCCTATTCTGTTTTAATATTGACTAAACTTAAAGCAAGCAGTCTGACTAGTACAAATCAAGTCGATGATTAAAGACTCATTGTTCTTGTATTATAAAAACCCTACCGTAACTGTTTTAAATCTGTGCGGAGGGTATTTCAGTTTTCACAAGGCCCAATCCATTTTGATTTTTATTTTCGATTTTGTAATTTTTTTCTTAATTTACGGATTCCCTTCAATTAAATGTAAATTGCTATCAAAACTCGAGCAATGTCGTTGCAATAAACGTAATTTTGCAATTTGCCTTAAAATACCATATTGGTGGGCAATGAATGTATCTTTTATCTGTACTACTTACTTTGTCGGAGGATTTTTTTATCCTTACAGTTAAATTGTTGCTTATTTAATTAAAAACGATCTCATCAAACGTAATGAAATCAAGTTTCAAGTTTTCATCTCCCGAGTTTTTCGATGATGTCGAAGTCTCCGTTTTTGGTTAATGAAAGAAATTTAAAAAAATTAAATGCGAACATATTTTTTGCTTGTTAATGAAAATTAAAATTGCAATCGTATCGATTTAATTAATAAGGTCACATTACGATTTACTGAAATTATCACAAATATTTGCAGAAGTCAGAAACACACAAAAATTCATGGTAGCTTTAAATTTGGGTCATTATGGCAAAAATTCACCATTTTCGAAATCCGAGAACGAGGTTTTATGTTAATTTCAACTTAATTAAGCAATAATTTTTTGTTTGGGATGCATTACGTTTCTGATCAATTATTGGTCAAAAGCCAAAAATCGTTGAAATAATTTAACATAAATTGAATTTAAAAATGCAATTAAAATAAAATGCAGTTAATTGATTTAATGTGCATAAATTAAAAAAAAAACTTGTAATTTTTTATACAGAAGACTTGGGACTTGTTTAAATAATGAAGTAAAAAATTGGCCAGTTTGCAATATGTATATTATAAAACATACTCTCAATTTCAAAAGCTATTAGGCTGAAGTAAGTGCTTTAATTTGTTAGTCTATGCAATAAATTTTGCACTATAATTTAATAAATAAATATAGTTTCTGTGGATAATAACGACTTGTTTGTTATAGGCTTGTTTTTCTATTTATATACTATTTTTATATATTTCTACTACTTGAACTGCAAGCTTGAACTACAATCTGCTAGTTTATGATAAAGCGTTATAATAGCTGCCATTTCTAGTAAATTTCTACACTCTGATATAGAAACATTTCTAAATATTGTATATCGACCATCATACTCAAGTGCACTCAATACCGAATATACAAAAAATTTACTTTAAAAATGTAGAAATAAAATTGCATAGAGAGCCAATACGCTAAATGACATGATTAATTTATAATAAAAATAAATAAAAAACATTGATCAGGTTAGGTTAATTTGGCTGGTTGTAAGCCACATATAATAGATCTATTGTACCAAACCTTAGTGACTGTAAATAGAATAAGCTCTTTATCTTAATTTGAAGCAAACATTATGTATAACATCGACGTTTTTTGCAAATCTAAGAAGTAAGAGATCCATACCAAGGAGGTATATTGGATAGTTTAATTTTCCGATCATATTAATTATATTTGTGACAATGCAAAATATAAACATTAAAATTTTCCAAAGTCTTTTATATTCCCAGCTTTCTACATTTCTTATATTCGTCACAATTGGCAGTTCCATTTTATACGATAATTGCGCTATTAAAAATATAACACCTTTTAGGCAGTTTCTGACTATACAAACTATTAAATAGAAGTTCAATATAGACCATTCCAATTTAATCAAAGCAAACGATGCCAGAATTGTTTAATTTATATGGTCTTAAACTTTCAAAAAACTCCATTTAAAACGCTTGAGTGTTTGCTGACAAAAGCAAGGTTGCCAAACCTAGGTTGTCAGCAAAGTTATGGAGGAATTCTCCAGCAATAGTTACCAGTTGCTGTTTTTGTTGTATATTCATTGTAAAACATTAGTAAAAATCGCTCGCATGACTCATATAACATAACTATTTCCGTTAGCTGCCTTTCTTATTGTAATTCTACAATAAGAACAATCTATTCTAACCCGCGTTTTAATCTTTGATGAACATGTTACATCTTCCTGACTTTTCGGTCTTTTCAATGTCTCCTAAATTATTTTAAGATACGCTTCGCACTTATTTGAACTCAAACATGCAGTGATCTTTAAATGAAAACTACGTGAACAAAAAAATGGGTTCGATCGAAGACTACATATAATAGAAATCATACCGGTTTATAATAAAAATAACTATTTCATTTAACCGAGAACTTAGACATGGGATAGGAATAATTGGAAGCTCTTTCTAACCATGTGATTATGATTAATTTTAATCATAAATCACTTAATGAAAGGTAGGATTAACTAAAAAGTCTGTGTAAAAATAACATTTTATTGTAATTAATAATACCAATATAGTACTTAAATCCATTTTTATTGCAAATTGTTCACAATTTCTCTAGTTCAACACTTTCCCTTTTCATCTTCGTCCCTTACGTCTTACTCAACTGCTCAGCAAACACAAATTAAGCATCGCTTAGATTAAACATCACTGTAATAATCAGTTATAACAAGTATATACCTATTAGTATGTATTGATAATATATATATTGGTAATACAATATTGGATTTATTATGCATATTAGTTGAAATAGAGTACATTGACATGTGTAGATTCTATAAAATGCTTAGTAAAACATCCGTCATCTTATTTACTGGTATCCTGGAGTTTTCGGGAAATAAATGTTGTACCTCCATTTGAGATTATGTGGACCGAATTGGATCTATAGCTGTCTTAAACTATAAAATTTTCTTAATTTTGATATTATCAATTTATCTAGTTATCTACGTTATCTTAAAAGAGTTTCTCCAGGTTTAGCAATAAATATCTAATAATTATAAAACATATCTTCCACATTTACGACAGTCACACTTTTCAACAACTTTATTAACTATTTACAATGCGTCAATATTTTTAAATGATGTGAATGTATTTAGTTTTTTGTAAACTCTTCTCTATTAGTAAAATTAATTCCACATACTATAAAAAAATATTTTAATATTGTATAACAGATGACGAACGGAGCCAAAGTCATTATAATATGGACCTATTTATACAGAAGTGCATCAGCATTTTAATCAAAATCACCCACTAACCCAAAAGGTCAATCCGATAAAATCACGAAAAAAAAAAAATAATTAATTGCACTGAGGCATAATCATTCTTAGCAGTTGTCTGACGTACTACAAGCTTTCAGAGCAAATTAAAGCAAGTGTGTTTCTTTCAATTGCAATTTCAATAGAATCATTAAAAAATTCATCTAAACAATCAGATGTAGGAACTGTGAAACAGTATAGAACCCGTATCTCGCGCAGAATATAAATAAATTTAAGCTCGTACGTAAAAAGATTGTAGCAATTCGAATAAATCAAAATTGCCGCATACTGAGCAGCAATTGTTGTTCGTTGTTGCTGGGATTGCTGCTGATTGTTGTGTTGCACGAGTTGTGTAAAGGAGAATATTAAATTGATTTTAATCTGCAGTTGATGCACAGCTGAGGCTACACAAATGATGAATGTAAAAACAAATTACAACAATAAACAAATACAACAACAACAACAATAACAATAACGCCATCAGGAACAATAACCTCCCACAACTACGACGACTTTAATTTACAATTCATATAGAAAAATATTCAAGTTTTCACATTTTCTGGGTGCAAGTGATAAAAAGGTCATATTAATGTGCATTGCACAATTCAATTATTCAATTTATTATACTTCTTTCCCTTTTTTTGGCATCAAGTTCAAGTAAAAATATGAAATAATCACTAAGATAACTTATTCCTTTCCTTTTCTTTCTCTGCTTCTTTCTTTTTCTCCTTTGCTTCCTCTTCTTTTTCTTCTACTGCTTCTTCACCTTTTCTTTCTCTTCTTTTTTACGTCTACTTCCCTTTCTTCACCGTCTGCGTTTTCTGCTGCATCTTCTTCTGCCTCTTTTTTGTCTTTCTCTTTTTTTTGTATTAGTCTTCATTGACGCTACACGTAAAATTTAACCCTGTCCTTTGCAACAGTACAGCTTCAAACCTCACGGTTTCTCGCAACTGTTTCCTAGTCATTGACATCAGGTCATCTCAGAACCCATATATTCTTATTCAATATCGTCCTCTTTCTACTCTTACAAATCACCGAATCTATATGATGGAGTTTCGTTTTTTCAAACGATCGATTTTACTTCACTGTTAGATATAGGCTTCACATCCATAAATAGTTATTTGGCGGGTAATTGTGAAATTCTGGGGACACAACCCTGATTTAAAGAGTGTTACTGAAGGTGAAACAAAATGAGATGTGAATCCTTCTCAATTATCTAAAAGAATCATTTTGATGCTATAATTCCTTGTAATAATTGTCGTGTTAGAACTATCCAGAAGCCATGATAAATGCAAATGCCTGGTCAATGTTAATACTGAAAATGTAGCCGTGTGTGTTAAAGTAAGTGGCACCCACTAGCTTATGCGTGGTTCTTGCCAAACCTGGACAAGAGACATAGCAAGCATTCTGATGTATTTTCTTTGAACTTGCCCTCATGTCATCCTATACTCCAGTGCCCTTTTAAAACAGATAATAACCTGAATACTTCTGATTGGCTTCTGATTACTAAGTCAGAGGTTCTACATTTAAAGTAAATTGGACATTTAGAGTAGTACCCCTTGACCTGACTGCTCAGGATATATTAACTCTCTATTTATCTGTCGCAATGACTATAAATCAACATTCAGTTGTGGTTGGCATGGGCAGGGATTGCAACAGAAGTTTCCATAGAAGCGGAGCCGTGTCTAGCTAAGTTTATCTACGCGTTCATTCTCTACTCTATTTTAAAGAGCATTACTAAAGAGTAAATGTTTACAGCGATGTTATCTTTTTGGATGGCCAATACCCAATCATTATACATGTTTACATAGAAGACTTAATATCTTAAGTACTTCAAAAATTTTAATTCTGCGTTTTCAATGCCCAGATTCTGACAAAAAAATTTTCATGTTGTGTTTGCTAATGCGAAATCGGCTTATCCGAGAATCGTAATCTTATTCCCGAAAATGGTTTTCTTATTTCTATTACTGTGCTTTCTATTAACTCGATGTCATAAAGGATTGTTAGTATCTATATATTATAATTATCGTTTAATTAAAGTCCTTATGACTTTCTCTCCTCGCAGTGTTATAATCACCAAATTTTATTACCACCTCATCTTATAGATTTGTTTCGTTCTTCTCATTCAATGTTTCAATCACCAGTAATAACACGTGATAATCATTATAAATGTGCTTTAACTCTTTATAAGGTCTCCAGAAATCTGTGTATAAAAATCCATTAATTCCATTAAAATATAAGTGAAATATATTTTTCTTACTCAAAAATGATTTAATTCCTTTAGTGCCATTAATGGTGTCTCTATATATCTTAAAATATTTTTATTCTTTTGATTGTTTTATTTTTTAAAGTAATTTAATGCTCTTACCTGAGAAGCAATATTTTAAAGAAGAAAGTTAAGTGCAATGCAGTCCACAGTCCGCAGTCCATTCCATGCAGTACTTTCGGAGAATGGCTCGATGTTTATTGGACTTTAATTGTCATGTGCGTTGCATACAAATGTGTTGCAATGACCAATTTTCATTATGCAGCAACATATCTGGCACTTCTTTGCCTTAATGCTTTCTTTATTTTGCACATTTAATAATTGTTGCTATTATTGTAGTTGTTATTGCTGTTGTTGTTGTTGTTGTTGCTGTTTCAGCTTCAGTTTCAGTTTGCGATGCACTGATAACTGCAATTTTCCGAAACATGAGCACACGTTCAACTGCACACTCCATGCATGTAATTACACGGCGCCCACTTCTGTGCGAAGAGGAAATGGCACACATCATCTCTGTTGGCAGTACTCCATTTATTGCTGTGGTTCTGACTCTACTCGATGTCTGCATTTGGAGCAACTTACGGAAACGCTTAATGCACTTACTTGCATATGCAAGCATGTCCGTTCGTATGCGTACGCTTTATAAATTAATTGCATGGACTCTTTTTTTATATTTTATTGTAGATTTTTCACTTTACTCCATTTCAAAATTAAATAGTGATTTTATATATTTTTTTAATATTTCTTTATTGACAATACATTGCTGCTATATTGCAAGATTGCAAGATTGCCCGACGCTATAACACATCTCCTCTAATCACTACACATTACACTATCATTGGCCGTGTAATGATTTTCTATTTACAAGATCGTAACGTCATGCAACCAGCGTTGCAATGCAGCTGTCAAATTATTAAGTGTCAAAAATTGGGTTAAGTCATGTCTGTTGCTGGAGGGGAACTAAAGCACAACAGTCGTAAATAAGCCAATTATCGTTTGAGTAGATAATTGTTTTGATTTTATTTGAATTGCTAATTTAATTTCAAAGCAACTTTAATGCAGTCGCGATTGCTGCTAATTGAGGCGGATTTTTCAGAAGTTGTCACTGAAATACTAGTTTTTCATGATTTCTCTATATCATTTTTACTTGTAGTGGGTTTTTTTCAGTATTTGCATATAATATTTGTGACTTAGTAATGGTCTTATTATATGAATACTATGGCCTGCCTGATCGTGTGTGAGGATGTATTTAACAACGTTGTTACTCTTTATGCGGAATATTGCGGAATGCAGGATTAACAACGTTGTTAGCACTCTAGTGAAGCTAGCGTCACTAATTACTGTGTGGACATGGCAACTTCAAGTATCTCCTCAAAAAGAAAACTCTTGCTCAGGAAGACACTTGCAGACTATGTCTAGAAGAAAAGGAGACAGCGGTGCATATATTGTGCCAAAGACCAGCACTGGCAAGTAGGAAGAATACTGTCTTGGGACACCATTAGGTTGGTGATGACTTGGCAAGCAACCTCAAGCTAAATGAGCTGCTTTCATTAACAAGAGATGTAGTTATGCGGACGGAAGCCACTCTAGCTTTAACTCAATAACGATATCCGAGAATAAAAGGACGAAAACGGACCCAAGTAGTTTCGTGGTGCGCTGTCCCAACATCCTACCATATATATAGCACTCCATATATAAAATTTGGTGGGTGTTATAGGTTTTATTTGAAAACACTAGAAACTACTCAGCATGTTAAATAGAAGTGATTATTGCAAATATCTATCAACTTAACTGAGTTTTTACCATTACCATATAAAAAGTGTACTTAAAATCTAATACTCCTCTCTTTAACATATAAGAACTTTCTTTATAAGCTCTAAAGCTATCAATAACATTTATTTCGATCTTATCAGTAGTAAGGAACTATTACAAATATAGATGTTACCTGTATTGCTAATAAGAATCCAACAGTAACTAGAATCTCTCTTGAACATGTGTATTCTTCCAGTATTGTTTACAATGTGTTTACAAGCTTTTTAACCTTTCCTAAGATTCAATACTCATCTACATATGTATCACGAAATGTGCCATCTTCTTGAAGAAAATAAATTATTGTGTATGAGAACTTAGCACCTTTATTTTTGATTTAAAAACAAAAAAATTTCCATTTTCACTAAAAATAAAATATTTCATCAAATAATGATTTTATGGGCACACATATATAACCAAATAGTCAGGTCAGTCTAGTTGTACGACTACATTGCTGATGGCAAGGCTGCCAAAACTACTCATCAACATCTGCAATCAAGCTACTTTCAGCCATGATTGCGTACTCTTCATACACATTTATGCTTCCAAAATTTCCATTTACTACAAAAACTTCTCTAACTAATCAATCCATATTTGTATTATTTTAGGTGAAAAAAACTTGTGGTGCCACGAAACTATTGCCATCAAAATCCACCGAAGAAAAACGGCCAGCTCAACCTTACAATACTAAATGGGCAACTCCTCCAGATGCAGAAATATTACAGTTTTTATCAACTATTGATAAATCCAAGGAATTCTTCTCGAATATAGTTAACAAGTAAGTAACACTTTTTTTTAATAAAATTAAGACTACGTTCAATATAGAACAATCTATATAAGACTATATCCTAACCACCAATGTAAATACTTATACTAACTATATACTTACAACGACTAGCTTGCTGCTTTTTTGCACAATTGCTTGACCGACCGATACTACTGTCAACTGCCTCCATAATCCATAACTCATACATAACCCACAGCTCAAACGTTAGCCTGACTTACACATATTTAAAAAAAAAACAAAATCGTTTGGCTTAGCGATATTGTGATTTATTTTCGTGACATTCGATTTTGACTAGTTCATAGCAATTTTAATTGAGTTCTCTCCTGATTTCTTACATCCTTTCTTCTCCTCATCAAGGGGGAAGTTATGCTCAAACACATAACTTCAACTGGTACCGGCGGAATTCCTTGGAATTCTAATGGGGCGTTCATCGGCGCAATATACCGATTCGTGTGTGACGAACACCGTGATGTTGATCTTACACGGCAGGGAATCACGTAAAATCTGGACCTTCATGTCATCCTTTCTATATTGTGTTTTCTTTCATTGAAGTATATGTGCTATGTTTTCGTAATATCCAGTGTTCCCATGCTATCCATGTCATCCAGGGTTGTTGGTGGATATTGCACTCGTCATCATTTTTACAAAAACATTTATTTTATCTTAATTTAATTTTAATGTTTTTGATTCTATTTATTGTGGATGCAACCACTGTGACATAGAAAGGTGAACAAATGGCAAGAGCTAGAATAATAAGACCCCATGTCCAGGCGGTTGAATAAGTCGTCGACTGACAACGAACCTAAAAAAAATGTTTTAAATATAAAAATTAAATGTTATAAAAATTTAATAAGGCTAAAAAAAACTTACCCTAGCCATTGTGTCAGCACTAGCTCTCCCAGCTTCCGGAACGAAAAGTCTATGTATGAAACAGCAAATCCTTGACACAATATCGCTAAGCATTTTTTGGAGGATGAACCCAAAAAATGGAGAAGGATGTTAAGTCTTGAAATTTTTTAATTTGAACAACTTGTACCAAACATTACTATAAAAAAATAAAATTTTTAAAAACTTAACTTAATTTATATTCTATTTTCAATGCTATAGTGTTTGTGAGGATGAAGATATACAACGTAATGATCATCATTGCTGGACTGGTGAACGTATTGGTGATTATACACAAATTGTAATGGCCACTGCTATGGACACACAACGTTATAATCCCGAAGTACCATTAGAGCCTAATTCACAATCAACTAAATTAAATGATTTGGTTGATAAACTCATTAAAATACGCAAAAATATTGGCAGTGCTGTGAGTAATTTAAAGGAGTATAAATTAAGTATGTATTATATATAAATCGCGATGATTTTCTGTTATAGGTGCCATCAACTACTCGTTCCTATTCTGATATACAAAGTGACATGGCGCGACATGACGATGAAGTTGGTTCCGGGAGAATGCCCGATGATGTCGATGATGAGGAATACGGCAGTATGCATGGTTCTGGTGATGGCTCAGGCGATGGTATGTGTAGATTTCTTCTCTTAACAACTTATTCGTTATAAAAATTATTCATAATTATTAGTTATAACAATTGTCTAAATATATTTATTTATTTTTTATTTTATTTATTTTTATCACATAGGTGCAACATCATCACCTTACGATCCTACCGGTCTGACACCAATTAACAGCAATGACATTGAACCACGAGGCAGTGCGTCGCTATCTTCCACAACATCCATATACTGCTTAACCAGCACAGTTATCATTACACTAGTCACACGATTTTTAACGAGCAGTAGTTAAACTTTTACGACTCGCTGCGAATCATAACGTTCGGGTACGCTCTCACGCTCACTACAATAATAATTGCGCGCAAAATCTTCTATTAAGGAAAAATGCTATATTCTTTAGATTTAAATTATTATTTAATTTAGTTATTTAATAATTAACAAGGAAACACTAAATATTATAAACCAGAAAAAAACAAAAAAAAAACTATTAACAAATTGGGAAACAAAACGTGTAGAAAGAAAGAAAGAGGGTGCAACTCTGTGTAGGCATTAAAATTTATTACTGTAATAATTATTAAATATATTTATATATATGTGTGTAACTTTAAAGCTCTTAGAGTGTTAATTAGCACTGAAATGTGTCAAACCAGCAAAAAAATTTTATCATAGAAAAGTAATTTCAGTTAACAAGAAAAACAGAAAAGTAACGAGTTCTAGCAAATAAGCGCAATAATGATTACTCGCTATTAAGCCAAAATAGTGAATACGTGTTTGGTAGTAATCGATAATTATTAATGACTGGGTTTATACTTTATTAGCCAATTACGAAAATCATTGGTAAAACATATGCAAAAAAAAGTATGCTGTGGAACTTATAACCTAACAAAACAGAAATTCAAAATTTAATTGAATTTTATCGATAACGATAACTATAAACGATAACTTAATATATTGTACTGAATAGCAATGAAAACATGTCTCCTTTTACAATTCAAGAAGTTTTTTAAGTATAAAATTAATTAAACATATTTTCAATGTCATGTAAAGTTAATTAGTTAATCAATTAAATATTTACAAATTCTTAAAATATTTATAAATTTAATTTTGGATAAAATTACTTTAATGAAACTTAAGTTATTCCATTCTGTCTTTAATGTTGTAAGAAATTTTATATTCGTTACAAACATATCTTTGTTTTACAATATTTTTATATACTTGAATTCTAAGATTTTACAAAATTATAAATAGTAACTAACTCTGATATTAAAACATATATGAAAATTATAGTTTATGTTCACTATACACACGGCGAATAATTTCTAAAGTAATCTATATAACAGTTTGAGGAGTGGAGCAATGAAGGTAGTAGTCTAAATGCAATAAGTTCTGGATTACTTCATATTCCATTACATTTCTAAAACCATTAGTACAGAATAATAACGGTTATTATGGAAAAACCCTTTCGATCAATGTAATTACTTATATATATTTTTGGCAACATGTGCAATTTAAAACATTATCTGCATATTTAAAAACATTCTATTTTCTTAGATAGAAAATATTATTCTCTATTTATCAACAAGAAAATTTATTTCTTAAAAGTTTTATAAACTTCAAAATTCTCAATTAAATTTTATTACAATTAGAAAGAAGATATATGAAGATATATGGTTTTCTCCTATGGTTTTTGACATATGATCGGATTTTTTATAACCTCAAACGATCACTTTTAATGCTTGGGAAAAAATCTCTGAAATATGTTGAGAGTTTTATGAAAAGTTAAAATTCTCAATTAATTTAAGTTCCGATAAAAAAGAAGAATTCTAATTTCCTTTACTTATCCACGAGAAAATTTATTTCTAACATAAGACTAGTTCTCTTTAAAAATTAGATAATTACTAGTAATCCTTTGGAAGAAAATTTTTAGAATATTTTAGGAATTTTATTAGAAGCTAAATAATTTCAAAATTCTCCATTAAATTTAATTCCGATAATCAAGAAGATTACAGAATTTCATTATTTACCAATAAGAGACTTTATTCCAAACAAATGTCCGAGTTTTTATAAACTATAGGCTATCACCGTTAATACTCTATTTTGAAAAAAAAAAAACTCTGGAATATTTTGAGAATTTTTTAGGAAGATAATTTATTTCTAAATTCTTTTTTAAATTGCATTGTAATTAGAAAGAACATTTATAACTTATACATCAACAATTTTAACATATCCAATTATTGCAAAATAAAAAATCATTCCGAAATCACAATCAGCGTTAGACGAGACTTTAAGAACATAAAAAATTTTCCGTTCTGCTTAAAAATTTCTAAAAAAAAAAGCTGTGTATAAAAATTTTCAATTTAATAGAAAGAATTTAAGTTACTATCTTATTAATATCAACAAAAAAAGAATTGTATTATTAATTTTTTTTACAAAACTCTTATAATTCAAGTATAGATTTTCTGTATAATCTAATTCTATCTACCTATTTTCCAGCTTAAGTTCAAATAATACTTTTAACACTTATTAATACTTCTCATGCTTTCTTTTATTTATAGAAAATGTACGTGATTTTATTTAATATTGAATAAGAGTATTAAACAATTTCTCAAAACATGATTACATTGCTTTCATTAAGATTAATACTATAACTTTAGCCGTAATTTTTTCTTTCAGAGTAGCAAGTACTTGCAAATACTCGCAAGTTACGATATAAAACATGTAAAGCAACAACAATGCTCTTAAAATCTTCAGAGTTAGGTTTTACTCGCAAAAAATTTCAAATTTTAAGTTTCAGTGCAGCCAAATTCAAAAATCAATCTATTGTGAATGTTCACTGGAAAAATATGTTGCAAAATTCCAATTATCCCTTAAAATCATATGAGCATTTCATTCACTAATAAATTCAAATACACAAATAAATAAATTAATTTAAATATATAAGTAAAAAATGCTTATCATTGCCGTTCTAATATTAATTTTATTTTCTTGTATTTAAATTAATTAATGTTTAGTGTTTATAATTTTTATATGTCAAAAAAGCATTTAACATATGCCAATTTGTTTCAACCAGACTTAATGCTGTTTTTTTACAACTCTGAAAAAAAAAATTACGGCTTAACTATAAGAAATAGTTTTATTCTTTACCAATTAAATTAAGAAAAATACTTAATTGTAATTCAATGTAGTAATTAACTAAATTCTGGCTTAAGAGTTTATCTAGTGAAAATGTTTGTTTTCAATATCTTTGTGTGAAATTTAAATATACAGAAAATATGTATCAAATTGTAGTGATGTAAAAATTTTTTAATTAAAAAAGGTAATAACCAGACGCACATATAGTTAGAAAATTTATAAATTTACCTTAACTGCTTTCAAGGACTCAAGAAACATGAACTTACTTTTGTGTGCCATAAGTCTTATGCATAATAAACATAGCCAATAGCATGTTGTTGCTCAATACATATATATATATATTATATATACTGATAAATCAATCTTATTGGTAAATTAATATTTATGAAATCGTTTATTTGTAATTTAAACTATTTGTGTATTTGTCAGCAAATATTTAATATAAAAAATAAGCAACAAAATGCAGTGTTCAAAACATGTTGTTCCTTCGATGTAAAGTTAGAAAATATTTCTATAATAAATAAAGAATACAAAATAAAACAAAAACATTTAAAAGGCACAACTTTATACATGACAACCCATTATATATTATTAAAATTTTCAAATAAAAATATACGTAATTCTACAAAATACCGACTTTTTATACATAAACTGTACGAAAAGCTATTTAAGTTTTAAATGCAACAAAAAAAAAAAATAATTTCAAAGCAATGCATGTACATACATATATCCAAATAGACTAAACAATATATTTTTATTGCTAAAAAATAATTGAAAAAAAATTAATTTGTTATTGCAAAATTATTAGCTAAAATTAATGAACTGAAGTTACTTTATCAACAAACGAAAAAATATATATATACAAATAAATAAATTTAATGCACTTTTAATTTAGAAAACATAGAAAAAAACATAGAAGACTCTTTACAGCTTTCGCATAAAACATATTTCGAAATTTATACTTAGAAAGAAATTTATATAGACGTGTAAAAATAAAAATTTATTATTAAAACAAAAAAAAACACAAAAAAAAATTATAAAAAAAAATGATAGAAATTGTAATTTCAGTGTTTTTTAGCAAATTTCTTTCCGAAATAAAAAACTTTAAAGAATTTATATAAATTAAAAAACGAATTGATAAAATATGTGTGTTTTTTAGTGTATTATAAATATGAAACTAAATGTTAAATGTAAAAATTAGTTAGTAGCAAATTATTGCATAATAAATTTTAAATTATGAATTATAAATTATGAATCATTTTAAAATTAAACTAAATTAAACTAATTATAAAAAATAATTTAAAATAATAATATAACACTATAATAGTTACAATATAAATACTTTATGAGTAAAAGTATAATAATAATAATAAACTAAAAATATATACCTTTTGCATGTGATTAATTAATATTTAAGTTAATTCGTAAACATAATATTTAATATAATTAAAATATTAAAAAATGCATATATATATATATATACATACATATGTAATAATTACACTATATATACATAAATATAATTTCTGTAAAAACTTACTAAAAACCCTGATTTATATATCTAAAAATAAATGTATCTGAACTTTGCGTATACCATAATTTTAAATTTAAATAATATATTTATATATTAAAATCATTTGACGAATATAAGCGAATACTACTTTTTTTTAGAAAATAATGTAGTATTTAAAAATTAAAAATTATTACAAGAAACGTAGTAGTTAAAATTGTGAAAATGATATAAAAAAGCTATTAAATATATTTAAAATGTAGTAATTAACACAAAATCTTAATGCTATGCTGATTTTGTTAATATTAAAATAAAACAAATCGCATGAATTGTTTATATGATTTGTAAGTTATTTTGTAAAATTAATTTAAATAAATATAAATTAATAAAAATATTTGAGTGATTTTTTTAAAAACATTTTTTTTAACAACGACTGAGCTTCGAATTTTAAGACATAAATGGTCAGCTAAAAATTCAATAAATCAAAAATAATAAAAATTTTGTTGTTGTAATTAACTACTGTTCACAGATCGCTCAATTAAAGCAATAGTTTCTCTTAAAAAATAGTTTCTTTCATTGTAATTATTTAAACTTCAATTTCATTAATTTAACTATTCAATGACGTGATTGGTGATAATTTCTTCTAACTCATTTCAAAAAAGATGACATATAAAGCAATATATACTATAATTATCAGGGTTAGCACAATCGAAATCACTTGTAAGAGCCTTCAACCTAAAATGATGTGACGTTTTTATCTAACAAAGCAAAAATTAATTAATAATTGTATAAATTCCGATAGGGCACAAAAGGTTAAATTAGTATCTTAAAAAATCGGATATAATATTAGGAGTTTGCTCGGTACTGATGCATAAGCGTAGTAAGTACTAAGGAAGGCATATCATATCGGTTGAACATATAAGACTCGCTAGTGTAGGTTCAACACTATAATTTTCTGATAAAATCGTACTTAGAGAAATACTCTGAATCATTAAACAAGGCACTGTAGATCTATTCAGTTGTTTAGTTTAATTATTATTATAATTATTTAAAATTTTAATGGTACATCGAAAGGAATTGGTTTCTATTTAAGGAAAATTTGACAAAGTTTAAGGATATGTCTTGGGTAGCTCAATTGAGAAATCTTTATATCTATTATGACAGCCACATTATCATTTTACTATATCGTAGAAACAATCAACCATTTTTATTTACATTCTTAAGAAATCGTTTAAAAAATCTTTAGCTACATATGGGTACTTGACGAAAAGCCTCCATGCGTTAACTATATAAGAAAAGCGTGGTTTTATAAAAAGTTACTATAAATATACTTTGATTTGCTGGATACCATATATCGTTCTAATTTTCGTCTCCTAAACATTTTGTATCATTAAAGAAGATATTTGAAAAATCTCATAATCCTGTACTAAGCAAGTCATTATAGTCCGATTTAACATATTGTACTTTAATTTCACTGTTTATTAATTAATTTATTGTATCATTCGTCTGAAAACCTTTAATCTTAGAAATAAAACTTACGTTTTACCATTAGTTGCAGGACCTCCCTTTAAGAAGTGTTTTAGACTTTTTCGAAAGGTTCAAGGTGGTTTTTAAACTTCTAAGTTCTAATACAGAAAGACAATGACGCAATATAATGTAACCATAACCTATACCAATAGTTAAAATTTATTTAGTTTCAAGCCAATTTATAATATCTTATATATTATATTAATATTATATTATATTATGTATTATATTATAATATTAATTTCTTAATAATATGCACTGCAAATTTGCATTTCATTGCATTTTAACATAACTGGTTAGGTTAGATTGGAGTGATGAGGTTGTAACCAAAGCTCAATTGATTTCAAAGAATAGCCCGTTATTAAATTTTACATTATGAAAAAAAATAGTTCGTCCCTTACTAATAATTTATTTATGCATTTACAAAAGAAAAGTAAAAGTTTCCATATCAATTACTCATCGCTTTGTGTATAATGCTTTCTTTTTAGTATATATCTTTTTAATTATTTAAAACTCTAAATAATTTAAAATTCCTTTAAATTAAACGACTTTTGTGTTATGTATACTAAACACAGCTTAATAATCAAGTGAAATAATAACAGTTGAAATAAAAAATTTGTTTAGAGATGGCGCTCAAAACACTAAGAAAAAATTTGAATTAACTAACACTGCAATAAAAAATATTTTATTTATATCTTATTATATAAATATTTTTTTCATTTTATGAAGAAATATTTCACTCTAACTTTAATAAAAAATATTTTATATAAATACATAAAATTCATATATTGCAATGCATTGATATACATACAATTTATGCGTATGTGATTCCATTCATTTCATATGCATAAGCATACACGGAACACACTACATGCGCAATGCAACCCTTCATACAATTTCGTTTTGGCGCCAAAGCGTGTAATACGCAGCTAAAGGGAAACATTACTTTACAGCGAAGATAGACATTTAATAAAAGCCAAGCGGAATAGAAAGCAGTGATTTAAAATCAATAATAACAATAAAAAATATAAATACAATTTATTAAATTAATTTAATAGCAGAGAATATGGCACGTCGGGATTATGCACAAGACAAAGGTATATACCACGAGATGTTTATGAAATATACATACATTATTAATTTTTATTTAATAATTAATGCATAATTTTACAACTCATTATACCTAATAGATTCCATTCGTACATTTCTGTGTGAGTTCTGTAAGGATGATGAAGACGGCAAAAAGGATTTTGTGTATGGACGTCAACTGGTAAAGTTAGCGCATCGTGAACAAGTGCTTATAACAGTAGACTTGGATCATATAACAGAATACAATGAATCGCTAGCTGAAGCTGTTATAGCCAATAGCCGACGCTATACAGCAATTTTCAGTGATGTGATAGCTGAACTATTACCAAGTTATAAAGAGCGTGAAGTGCATGCAAAAGATGCCTTAGATGTTTACATAGAACATCGTTTGCTTATGGAAGCGAGACGCAACCCCATGGAACAACACGATCAACGCAATAGTTTCCCACCAGAATTAATGAAGCGTTTGTAAGTTTGAATTTTTAATCATTTTTATATTATATTTCTTATAATTAAATAAATATTTTTTTTTATAGTGAAGTTGGTTTCAAGCCACTTTCCAATGAGAAAGCGCATTCTATACGTGAAATCAAAGCAGAACACATTGGTAAATTGGTAACTGTACGTGGTATTGTTACTCGCTGCACAGAGGTTAAACCTATGATGGTTGTGGCTACTTACACTTGTGATCGTTGCGGTGCGGAAACATATCAGCCAGTCAGTTCATTATCATTTATACCAGTACAAGACTGCCCATCTGATGATTGTCGCGTCAACAAAGCTGGTGGCCGTTTATTTCTGCAAACGCGTGGTTCCAAATTTATTAAATTTCAAGAAGTTAAAATACAAGAACACAGCGATCAGGTACCCGTTGGTCATATACCACGCACTATGACTATTATGTGTCGTGGCGAGGTAACACGTCAAGCACAGCCTGGTGATCATGTCTTGATTTCTGGCTGCTTTTTGCCACTAATACGCTCAGGTTTCAGCCAAATTATACAAGGTTTACTATCTGAAACCTTTTTGCAGGCTTATGTGAGTATTATAAACTATATAATTATTATTTGAATTTAAATCTAATTATTTTCAAATGCAGCGCATAATGTGCATAAATAAAAATGATGAAATATCCGATAAAGATGCTGAACTTACTGAAGACGAATTGGCCGAACTGGGTCAGGATGATTTCTATGAACGTTTAGCGACTAGTTTGGCACCTGAAATTTACGGTCATTTAGACGTAAAAAAAGCCTTGTTATTGCTCCTCGTCGGTGGTGTCGACAAACGCCCAGATGGTATGAAAATTCGTGGCAACATAAACATATGCTTAATGGGTGATCCTGGTGTAGCCAAATCACAATTACTTGGCTATATAAGTCGTTTGGCTGTTCGCTCTCAATACACCACAGGGCGTGGTTCATCAGGTGTTGGTCTGACAGCAGCTGTCATGAAAGATTCAGTCACTGGTGAAATGACACTCGAAGGTGGTGCTTTAGTTTTGGCTGACCAAGGCGTATGCTGCATTGACGAGTTCGACAAAATGGCAGATACCGATCGTACAGCTATTCATGAAGTCATGGAACAACAAACTATTTCCATTGCAAAAGCCGGTATTATGACAACGCTCAACGCACGTGTTTCCATATTGGCAGCGGCAAATCCTGCATTTGGTCGTTATAATCCACGTCGTACTGTCGAACAGAATATACAATTGCCAGCTGCTTTATTATCACGTTTTGATTTGTTATGGCTAATGCAGGATAAGCCAGATCGTGAGAATGATTTACGTCTGGCCAAGCACATTACGTATGTGCACAGTCACAGCAAACAACCACCAACGCGTGTGAAGGCCTTGGAGATGAACTTGATGAGACGCTATATAAATCTTTGCAAGCGTATGCATCCAACTATACCAGATGAGCTGACAGATTATATTGTTGATGCTTACGTAGAATTGAGACGAGAAGCACGTAATCAGAAGGATATGACATTCACTTCAGCTCGTAATTTATTGGGTATTTTACGTTTATCCACTGCTTTGGCACGCCTGCGTTTATCAGATAAAGTGGAGAAAGATGATGTTGCCGAAGCACTACGTTTATTGGAAATGTCTAAGGATTCTTTGAACCAAATACACGAACATCAAACTGGACAGTAAGTTTCTAATAAGTGTGTGTGTAAAGCGATTTAAAATTAATTAATTATTTTCCTTAGCATACCAAACACGTCGGACAAGATATTTGCTGTTGTACGAGAATTGGCCGGCTCACGGAATACCGTCAGCATTGCCGATGTGATGGATCGCTGCGCCACCAAAGGATTTAAACCCGACCAAGTTGACAAATGTATTGAAGACTACGAGCAGCTCAACGTTTGGCAAGTTAATCAAGCGCGTACAAAAATTACATTCATGTAAACCTGTTAGTTTATGTTCTTTCATAGCATATTTTTACTGTCATTAATAATTCTCTTTACATTTTTATACAAATATAATCATTTATATGTTAAATAAAACAAACAAATTGTTTGTAAGTACAATGTTTATAATTTTAACAATTTTTAATAAAAGTCATAAAATCTGCAATATTCGGAAATTTAATTTTATGTTTATAATAAAAATATGTTCACATCTAGAAACTGAATACTGAATACTGACAGTTGTGTCTACTTCTAGGGGCCAGTCTTGAAAATTAGCTATAAGTATTATGTCGAAACATGGAAACTGAAGAACAACGGTTATGATGTTTGGGGTTCACTTCTCATTACAAAATAAAAATAGTTAGAAACTTGTGAGAAACTCCATGCATATTGAGATTATGTCGATTTATTACAAGCATCCCTTAAAATCTGCAACCAACCAGCGATGCAGCTCTCTACTTCCTATGAAGTATCACTAGTCGCAAGGAATTTCTCAACTCCTAACTCTTTTTTCCCTTCCCTCTATGATCCACTTCACCCCAAGCTTCAATTAAAACCCACTTACCTTCAATATCCTTAACAATCGCTCTTTTTCTCTCCTTTCCTAATACATGTTAACCTATGTTTTCGTACTTTGTAATTCATGCCTTCTGCTATGTAGATCTCCTCAGATTACAATAATATAAATATAGTATGATGGGAAGAAGTTACTTAGAATATTTAAATTTACAAAAATTCATTATCAAATCTCTACACCCACAACGTCCGATTCTTCCCAAATTAAAGAAAAATTCTATATATAACAACAACATAGTTTTGTTGTTGTTGTCAGATAAAAGGTTTAGTGTTAGCAATAGTGATTTATGTAAGAGTTAAGGCAACAAATTTATTAACTTTTCAAAACCTATTATCCATGGAGAGCTGTTGTTGTAGTAGCCCATGGAGATCTATATGGCAGATTGTATGAAAGAACACCAGCTTAATTTTAAGTAAGAATAGACGAGTTAGGATATGCTTGAGTAAAAGAAGTATGAAAGAGGAGGGGATTGTTTGCGGAGAAGAGTAGATTATAAATGGGTGGAATTTTAATTGCAGCTAACCAGGGTAAAAGTGGAAAAACCCGCCACTTCAATGGTATGAAGCCAATGATTAATTGGATTTACATTAGTGTCTGAATTGGGATGTGAAAATCGATGAAAGGAGATGCGGTTATGGCACACTTTGAGGATGCATTTATCCATGGAGAGTGTATAACATGAGAGGAGTTTTTATTTTATCCGTGAAGAGTGAGTAAGTGACATTCATATGAAATCTATGTTTTTATTAATTAAAGTTATTTTAATAAAAGTTTATATTATTTTATCGATGAAGAGTGAATAAGTGAAATTCTATGTTTTTATTATTTTAAATTATTTTAATAAAATTTTATATTTTATCGATGCAGAGTAAGTGGAATTGATATGAAATCTATGTTTTTATTAATTAAAGTTGTTTTAATAAAAGTTTATATTATTTTATCGATGAAGAGTGGATGAGTGAAATTCTATGTTTTTATTATTTTAAATTATTTTAATAAAATTTTATATTTTATCGATGCAGAGTAAGTGGAATTGATATGAAATCCATGTTCTTATTAATTAAAGTTATTTTAATAAAAGTTTATATTATTTTATCGATGAAGAGTGGATGAGTGAAATTCATATGAAATCTATGTTTCTATTAATTAAAGCTATTTTAATAAAAGTTTATATTATTTTATCGATGGAGAGTGAGAAGGTAAAATTCATATGAAATCTATAATTTTATAAACTAAAGTTAATTTAACAAATTTTTGGAATTTTAAAATTTTTATTGAAAATAAACGCCTAAATCACATATATGCGCTCATTACATATTGAATATTGATAAAATATAATAACAGGATACAATTTGTTTTTTTTTTTTTTGATTTGATTTGATTTATTTTTATTTAAACTTTTAAAACTGATTTACTTTACTGCATGTACTTTGCCAAAAACTTAAATAACTAAAATTGGTTAACATTTTAAGTACCATTTATGCAAATATGTTGATTCTAAAAATATCTTTTTATGTATATAAAACTTTAATATATAATTTTAGCAATTATTCGTACAATTATGTACAGTTTTCTTTATTTATTCTATACTATTTCACTATTTCACTTTAGAAAATTTATTTTATGTGCAAAGTATTAAAAATATTGACGCTGTTACTAGTACGCTTCAGGCAAATTTTTAGATAATTTTCTTAATTTTAATTTAATTTGTTTTATTTTTTTTCTTTTTTGTTTTTATTTTTTTTTTCTTTGTGTCATGAATTGTATGAATTTTTATTTTAAATTTAAAGCGAGAAATATTATTTGACATTTGGTTTAAAGGATCGATCAACACAGTCTGAACGGTGTAACCTAACAACGAATGGGTAGGTAGGGTAACATGGATAACATGTGTAAAGTTAATTAATTGTTAATTATTAAATTTACTACTAAAATACGTAATACTAAAGTACAATAACAAAAAATAGGATTCACATATATTTATACTCAATCAATTTCACAACATATTGATTATGGCCAAATAGTGATTTTTTTTATTTTATTTACAAAAATTAAACAAGTGCTCAGAAATACCAAGAAAAAATATACGTCTAAAGCTGGTTAAGATACGGATATGTGTGAAAATCAGACTAAGTTTCGCCACTGCAACGATGAACTGCAACTACGTCCACGTGTCCATACAGTTCGGTTCCAATATATTTTACATAGTATTTACCAGCTTTAGTTCTCACAAATATTTTTTGTTTTTTGCAATAAACATTAATATATTAAATAAATAAATAAATAATTATTTCTGCTTCATTGCACCAAAATTGTTAAAAAGGATTATTTAATAGAAGAAGAGCAAACGCTCCTGTGCCGAAGTGGACAGCAAGCGCCAAGTGCGTTTAATACTGACATATTGTATCAATGCGCGAACACAGATCAACAGACCAAATACCATAATAAGCCACCATAGCCAGGAGTTCTCATGCGAAGCCAAATCAGTTGAGTTCTTTACAATAAGAGTCCACTTTGCCAAAGACAAACCGAAACCAGATAGAGCACCATAACGTGCAGCAATTGTGTGACAGAAACATGTAAGCATCAAGAAACCAACCCAGTTGAAGAGAAAAGCCACCATAAAAGCTGTGATGAACATGATGTCGGTGCCAAGTAAGCTGTTATCAGAGTTAGTCAAGTTCTCAGCATCTGACGCATCGATTGCAATGAAAGTAAGTGCTGGTGGCGCACCGCCAGCGGTAGTACCATCACGTATATTGGGCAATAGTGGATTTGGTGGTGGCGGCGGTTGATGTAATGTGTGCGTAGTCAAGAATGCTGGTGGTAATTCACCGTTTAGTGATTTCTCCATTTGTACCTCCTCGTAGGTAGGCAATTTGCTGTGATGAATTTGTGGCACATCCTGTTGAAATTGCTGTTGTTGTGTTAGTAAATTGATATCCTGTGACAATTGTTGTGTCTCATTTTGTGCTAAATGAAGATGTTGTTGTTGCTGTTGCTGCTGTTGGTGTTGTTGTTGTTGTGCTATTGGTAAAGGTAGCGGCTGTGTTGGTGGTGTCAAAGCTGAGCTATTTGTTAGCTCATAAGGTGGCGGTGCACTAAAATCTGCTTTCGGCGGCCCTAGCTCCTGCGCTGATTGATGGTTTTCAGACATTTTGGACAAAGCAGTAAAGTTATCTGTAAAAAATAAAAATTATTATATTAAATTAATCTGCGAATTATGTAAAATGTTATAATGTATGGTAATAATAATTGAATACACAATTTTTTTTTGTTTTGTTAGACTGGGTAGTTTATTTTAATACTTTCTTTTTATATAGCTCATATTTTAATATTAACTCAGAATTTTATAGTGGTGTAAATAAAACTAAATCTAAAGCTGCTCTATTAAAATTATTAATATTATTATTTTTTTTTTGTTATATTTTATTATTATTATTATTAAATATAAGTATACTTTGTTAAAGATATTGAACAAATTTCTATATTTTTCTTTTGACATTTTTTAACAAAAAAAAAAAAGTAAAAATGAAATATACACTATAATTTCCAATGACATAAAAAATCTATTAACTGAAAGTTTATTTCTATAAGGCTAACTCTAGTTTATTTTGTCGACCGTTATATATTCGTCTTAAGTAGTTGTGAATATTATTTCTGTTTTTGTTTCACGGGCTTATAGCAATCTCAATTTCTTATTATTAAAAGATTAAATATACAAAAGTAAAATTTGTAATAAGGTATATGTAAATAGTACTGTTGGAGAGGTTGAAGAGGTTTCGGGAAATAAATATCTAATATACTACTGAGCATTTAAAAATTCAACGCAAAACTTGTTATTATAATTTATACAAAACATTAATAATAAAATATTTTTGAGGCAATCTATAACTAAACCCATTATTAATGGGTTTATAATATATAAATAGTTAAATAGAAATTGCACTATGAAATTTAGCTTAAAAGTAGACAATTTTGATAAAGAAATTATTTAGCTAAGAATTTGAATATTTACTACAATATTTTAAATAATATATATTTAGATATATATATATATATATATATATGTCCTTCTTAAATACATATGTACAATATATTAATGTACATATAAAGTTGTTTAACAATATATACTACTATAATTATATTATAATTTTGATATATTATTTCATTGCGAATTTTGATTTATTAATATTATATTTATATATTTATTTATATATATAAATTCTAAAAGTTAACATTTAAATAACAATACAATAAATATTAAATAACAAAAATTTTATAAGATGAAAACAAAATAATATACAACAAATTTTTGAAATGAATTATATATTATAATCAATTAAATTTTTTTTTGTTTTAATACAACTTTTTAACAATAGTAATATATCAAAATCGTAATAAGTTAACAGTTAAGAAGTTAATATATATATTTCAATCAATCAATCTAGTACGTTCCCAAGGGACCATTGGATCAATATATATATTTACGTATCATTAATTATAGATTGTATATATTTATGTATATGTATCATAATTTCATTTCCCGTATTAAAGTATAACATGAAGTATTTATACATTATAATTGAAAATCCTTTATAAACTATGATTTCATTTAAATTCCAATATTAATTTCATAACGTAAACTGTATATAAAAAATAAACTGTAATATATAATAAAGCCTTTTATATTTGAGTAACTTTAAAGCATCTAGGATCTTTATAAAAAAAATTATTAAATAAACTATTTCAAGTTATGACAAGGTAACGAAGTGAAATTTGTTTCTTAAATATATATTAATAAATAAAAATAGTGTCGTAATTTCTTATTCTTCAAATACTCGTAAAAAAATTAATTCTCATAATTTATTCTAAAAAAAATTTCAAATACAAAAATATGGCAAAGTATAAAGTTCATACATTTAATTACTTTGTTAATTAAATAAATAATATAATAATTATTAATCTTTAAACATTTTAAAGGATAAAAAATTCTTCTTTAAAATTCTTCATTTGTGTAGAACATTTTTTTTTTTCATTGGCAATATAATGTATATTTCATTTTTAATTTTTTTTAATTTTTGAATAGTAATTATAACAAAATAATTTAATAAAAACAAACAAACAATAAAAAAAAAGAGTATAATTAGTAAAATATAAACAAAATTTAGTTCAGTGTTCAAAAAGCGTCTATCATTTGCATTGTTGTTGCTGTTGTTTTTTGTTTTTTGTTTTCGTTTATGTTTTTGCTTTAGTACTTGAAATTAATTAATATTCGTTGTTAAGCTTATATAATTTTATAAATTAAATAATTAATTAAAATTTTTAGTCATTTAAATTAAAATAAATAAAAGTAAATAAAAAGCTGCGCTTTAAATTATCGCTTAAATGCAGAAGCTAAAGGCAATATCTTATAGTGGTGAGGTCCAAATGGACGCATTTCGGGTACGCGTGTCATGCCGTCTACCTCATCCATGCCCTCGTTAGCATGTGCCATTGCAGCACTTTCGTTCAGTTTCAGCTTAAGCTTCTTTTCGTGGCGTATATAAAGGGTAAGGCACAATATAAGCATGAAAATAAGTGCTAGTGTAGCGCCACTGGCAATACTGGCTGTCTCAAGCATAGCACGTTGTCTGGTTGGCAAGTATGAACCATCGATTTCTTTATATTCACAACGTGGGCCCATAAAACCATTGGCACACTCACAATTGTAAAGTATTTCATTATGTATTTCAACTGTAAAACATGTGGCATCATTCAAACAATACCAAGCATCATACGTTGGTGGACAATTAAATATGGGAAATGATATATTTGGTCTTGGTGTTGTCATAGCGGCCAACGTTGGACGTGGTTTTGGTATGGCTCTACTGGAACATGCTGTTGCTAATGATATGCAACCTAATAAAGCTGAGCATAATAGAAGCGCTCTAAGCGTTTTAATATGCATAAAATGCATATTAAGGATATTTTGGTAATGTTGAGATTCCTTTTTTATTAATTCGTTGTTGTTTTTGTTGTTGTAGTCTTTAAAAACGACCTGCATTATAAATATTGTATGTACTAAGTTTTGCTGAACACCTGCAACATTGTTTTATATGTACATCTGATGCTTTGCTATGGTAATCCTGGGTGCTATGTGCATGCATAAAAGTGCGCGTTTTTGGTGCTTTTTGAGTACAAATCGTAGAAATGCTGAAAATTAATGCAATTTGTTAATTAAAATTATAAAAACAAATTATAAATTGTAATTAAAAACTTTAATCTTTATTTAATTCAATATAAAATTTAAATAATATTAAGCGCTTAAATAATAAACTCTACAACTACTACATAGAGTGGCCAATTTAAAGGTAAAAAAAAACAATAAACAAAAAAGGATTCACATTATATGGCTAACTAAATTAATTGATCTGTTGTTGTATGAAGACACACACACACATATATAGCCCAAAATCCTTAGCACTGCAAAGCTCCCTGACATTTTATCCTTTTTGTTATTGCTGTACCCTGAAGCGTTGTCCAACCTGAGAAAAATAACGTTAATTAATTGCAATTGTTTAAATCAAATAAGACAACAAAATCACAGAAAATTTACCTGATAAAATATTAATGGCACTCAAAAAAAACTATTTTAGAACCCCACCAAAGGTGTCTTTTTGTCATCTTTTTGAAAAGCTGTTCTAGGGTTACAGTTATTGGCACTTAACTACACATACACTGATATACTTTATAACATTTTTGTTATAAAGTCCCGACGGACAACGCTTTTTTATATAAACATTTATAGGCTACTATTAAAAAATGTAGAAAAAAGTAAGATCACGTAATAAACTATAAAAATTTTAGAATTTTACAAAATATTTTGTAAAACGTATAATTTTTATGGCACTAAGAAAAGCTGACTCACTAAAATTACTTTAAAAATACAAACACATTATATCAACCTTATTAACATATTGCCGTTAATAATTTAATTTAATTATATAAGTAAATGTAATTAATTATTTAATTATACAAAAAGATAAGTAAGACAAGCAAAAATTTATTTGAAATGAATCACCGCTAAAACAAAATGTTCGTATTTATTTAATATTCCAACTTATTCAGTTATTTCACTTGAAAAAAAAACCTTTTTAACTCCATTATTTGTTAATACTTTAAGCCGATGACAATGATCAAGAACTTAATTTAGTTAGATTGATGTTGATAGGATATTATCGCAACGAACTCTCTCACACATTATAGATGCACAGTCCTTAATAGGATTACAACTGTATCTACATTTGGTGTCGCTATGCGCAACAGCTCCATCCCGATTAGTTCTAACTTATAAAAGCACCTACATTTCATAATTATTGAAATCTAAAGCCTGTTCGATGTATTAAGAGACCCTATTGGTCATTAACGTTAGTAATTCAAAATATTCAAGCATAACGATACTCAAGCAATTCAATTATACTCCTATTTGAACATTTGGATCGACCAGTCCAAATGTTCGAAAATCTCGAGGCATTCAAATATATTCGAACTACTCAAATACCAAACATTTTTATATAATATTTCTTTTATTTTAGGGTCTAACACAAGGCAATCTTAAAATTTTTTCAAGCAGCCTGCTGCCTTCTCGAGTAAAATACAGCGCTCTGAGACATCACAAGTTATCACAAACCTAGATCAATTCAAATAAGAGTTGGTGTTAAACTTCATTATTAATTTATTGGGTCATTAATTAAACTTTAAAATCCCAATAAATTTATGGTCATAATGAAATAAGTAATATAATAATGCTTTTAAATTAGTATAGTTATATACTAAAACAATCAATGCGAAGATAAGGGTGATTAAATAAATCAATAAAACATATTTGAAAAAAGCAAAATGAATTTTTTGTAGATGATATCGATAAAGTCACAATATATAAATATTAAATTTATAATCAGTCTAAATAATAAATAATAATTTAAATTAATATCTTATCTCTCACTTCAACAGACTATCCTCATAAAGTTACACCTAACGAAACTTATAAAACAACGAAATGGGCGCTTCAATTTAAAAGAAGTAAAAGCTTGCTTTTTGCAAGGTAGCATCCTTGGTCCACTACTATATCTTCTGTTCATAAAAAATATAGTATTACAATCGAAGAGAAGATAGAATAAATACATTTTGTCTTCCCCAAAGGAATGAAGTTCGCCCCATCTCTGGTAAACTTATATATCTCCAAAGCAGAAAAGATATGTCACTACTTACGAACAACATGATAACATTCAGAAGACACAGCCATGCTTACAATAGAAACAACAATCCAAATCAAAGTTAAGCTACAAAGTAAGGTAAACACAGTCTAAAAATAAAAGAAAGCTTGGAAAATACAACTTAACAACAGAAAATCAATTCATGAGAACTTCACTCTTCAAATTAACACTTATTAATGGTTCTAGACGCTTGTATCCTATATAAAAATACTGCAGAAAGTTTTGATATAACTTTAGGTCTTAAGCGCATGAATACCATATGTAAATACTGTGGAATATTTTTGTATATCTCTAGGTCATAGAGGGTGAAATCCGATATGCAAATACTACAAACTATCTTCGTTTTACTCTTCATGCTCAGCTCAAATAAAGCAATATATAAAAATAAAATAAACGTATTCAACTTAAAAGTTGCAAATATGGACCGACATCGAAGTAAGATAAAAACTCTCCATATAAATTAAGATTATAGCATAGTATACAAAATGGGCTTACGAAACACAATTTTGGGTGGATGCTACCCAAAGCAATATCAACATAATTCAACAACTACAAATAAAGTTTTCTGGAGCACTGTCAGTGCCCGAAGGTGCGTTCGTAACCTCGATATTCCTTAAGATCTTAACTTCTTAACACTTAAGGAATTGAGAGAACAAGTACTCAAAAACAAATTCCTCATTTCTTACCTCAATTTTCACCGAGAACTCAAAGCCTCAAAGTTGTTTAGAAATTTATGGAACAAATGGTAGCTCGACACGTAAACGAAGAAGCTTGTAGGCTTCCTATAAGATCTCAGACCAGTTCTGAGGTTGCTATTGAAAAAAGCCACGTTGTCTCATTGTCGGGTTTTAAAAAGCTTTTATTTGGTGGTATCAAAAACAATTTGTTAGTTTTCTTCTAGTATTAACGATTTAACTCCTCTTTTTTATTTACAACTAAATTATTGTGAATGACGTTAGTCTATTATAATAGTAAACTAAGATATATGAAAAGAAACCCTAAAACAATGAGAAAATCCACTCGAGTCAAGCAATTTTATCTTATAAATTTTACAATAAAGCAAAAAATTATGCTAAAACAGCTTAATATGAAGATTATATTAATTTTTCCGGCTTCAATTGTCGCAAAATTTTTTCCCAGCTGAAGCTAAAGTGTCTGCTAAATTATCTCATTGATAATATTAAAAGTGACTCGTAAATGGCGTCTTTGAGAAAGCACAGCAAATACCAATTAAACACTTGAATTTCTTGAGAATAACGAATAGAATTATACTGATTTTAATCAAAACAACTTGCCTCCTCTGTCTGTCGATAGAAGTCACATTAGATACTCAAAAAGTGGTAAGTAAGCTCGTCTTGAGACGAGATTAATCTACGGTTGTTTAAGTTATAATTTATCAACGGAAACATTAATTTGCGATTTCAATTCAAGCAGCAAGAGAGGTAAATAATAAATAAATTGTTTACATTAAAAACTAAAAATAGCAAATATTGATTTTATAGCAAAAATAATTGTTTAGCAACTAAAATCTATAGTTAGTTTACTAATCAAGTTATTAACAATCAGAAGTGACAAAAAATATACAATTCCGACCAACACACCATAATCGACTGTCATGAAAATTTGTCGTAAGTTAATGGCGTTTCTGAGCAATCATAATTGCTAAAAGCACAATCAATTTGTAAATGAACTACAAGAAATCTAAAAATACAAATAATAACATAAGTTAGAAGTAAATAAATACAAAATAAGATACAATAAAATATGAGAATTACTAATAATAGTCAGCAATGCTCAGATATAGATTTATAGAAACTCATAAACAATTTTTCAAGTACCATTAAATTAGTACTATGAAATGAAATTCAATTGATTCATTTCTCTAAAAATATAACTACCAATTGACTTTTGTATAATGTCAATTGCAGAGAGAGAGTAAAAAAATCTGAACGAACACAATAACTGAAATAATTAATTATTGAAAATGACACATTGCATATGAATTACGTGACTTAATTGAATTCATATCAAATACAAAGTAAACTCCTTCATTTCACTTGGGCTTGCACACGATACTCGAAAGTACTCCCAATTGCAGAGCTAATCTTTGAAGACATTATCTTCAAAACAGTATCAAAGACAACGTCAGCATCAAACAGTTATTGGCAAAGCCCGAAGATGTTTATTCCTCAAAATTTAACTGTATTTTTTTGTAAAGGAGGATTTTCATAAATACTGAAAAAAACAAGAAGAGACACTCTCGAAGACAGATCAAGCGGTTAGACTAGAAACTATTTAAAATTATAGTGCCCACAGAAAAAGTTTTTATTCCAGTGGCTTTAATGGTAATTTTTATGTTTTTAAAAGAGAAATATTGTAAATCAAAAGATTTTTGGTCCAAGAAATAAACATTAATTAACTATTCAGAATTGCCAAGATTATGATATTTACAATTGAATGCGACCACTGCTTAAGACAACATGTAATTGTTGTTGTCGTTGTAACGAGATATAGGACACAGTAGGCCCGACAGGAACACCAACCCTACCAACGAGATGAAAGGTGTTAATTGTGAGAAGATTTTGTGTGGAGACATAAACTAACGAGGTAGAGAGGTGTTATAGGGAAATTAAATCTAACCTTTATTAAGTTTCAGGAACACAACCACATCGATCGAACAAACTACAGGTCAATTATATTTAAATCAGTGTGTGCTTTGGAATAATTTATGAGCATTGCAGTTAAAGTTATGACTGCAATGTTAAATATAGATAGATTAATTCATTATTAGTAATTATTAAGCAAGTGACTTTACTCTGACCAAAACAGAAAACACTGTGCTACACTGTGAAATTCTCTCTGTTTTTAGAAGGTATGAGAAGAAAATAGTGTTGAGATTTGAAATTGCAAGGAATATGAAGTCTTGAAAATAATATATCGCTTTAAAGGACTAATTCAACCTTAAATATTCAACGTTATTGACGCTTCCACCGCTTCAGTAGTTGTCGATGTATTCGAGATACAAAAGCTAAACTAGCGAATTTGGAGGGAAAGACTGTACTGACTGTGATTGTAGAATTTACAAAAATATGCTGTCAGTTAAAAAAATTATAAAGGTTTTTGTCAAATGTACTACAAAACCATGATCGTGCCGATCAAGAAAAGAAAGATATATAATGCATTCTTCTTGTTTATGTTCGAAACGAAAATAGATATTAATTTATATCTATAGTAGCTAGTATTGATGTTATAATTATTAGAAGCGATATAATTTTATTGTAAGTTATGAGATATATGGTACTATTCCTGTCTCTACAATAAACCAAGACTTCGATTTACGAAAATGGACACTTTCCTAATTATCGTAAGACTCGTTAAAAGACAATGGATGTTTCACTTTACATTTCATAAAATCGACAATGTCAGTATTCACTATTATTTTTGATATGTGATATGCGTATATTTGATATGTGTTGATTGAAGCGCAAATCCAGTTTGGAAACTAGACCTTTAAGGACTTCTAAGTTCTAAACTTCTTTACAATTTATTTTATATAAAATAGTGGATTCTAAAGTCCCGATTCTTAAAATGATTGTTCTGCGTTTAACCATAGTGAGACATGTGCAACGCCGGTCATGAAAATTGGTATTCGAATCAATGTTTTATTATCAGTTCAGTATAGATTTTAATGACCGTACTGAAGTGGGAGACAGAAAAATCCAATAACTGAGTTTCTTGCAGATAACTATCTCCAATTACTACTTCCAACACATACCTGAACTACAGTCGTTTTAATTAAAATCATTTCTTAAAAATTCTTCCTATACACTGTATCCAGTGAACACGGATGGTAATTCTTTATTCAGGTAGTTACGATTTTTGCTTTTTCAAACTTAACACTCTACTTAAGAAGATTTGAGGCATGATACACAAATTAGATGATTGAAGTTAAAACGTGATTACAAAGTCAGCTCATCTTGTTTTTGCTACGAGCCTTTAGTAACAACATGTATTAATTAAATAAAAATTAGGTTTTATATAAGAATACATATAAAAAACAATATTTTATATTACTCATAACTTCAGAAATGTTTTAAATTACAAGTTTACTTTTAATTAACAAAAACAGATTTTTAAAATTAAACTTTTAAGTCACCTGATCTGAACTGTTTCCTAGAGCGAAATAGATCAGTAACAGAACACAGAATACATATGTGTGATAAGTTAGTTAAACAAAAAATACAAAGAATGCGACGTCAGATATTAAGAACTGTTTTCAATTGATATTGAAATTAGCACAAAAACATTTTTTTTCATTTTTTTTTAATAGCAAATAAAGTTTATTTGCCTTTGTTAATGCTTTAATGCCAAGATAACTTATCGTTATCGACTATTTAAACGATAGAATCAACATAAGTACGATATATGCGGTATATAAGTGGTATTTATACTATAAAAGCTTAGTAGTCATATGCAATAAATATTTTTGAATGTGGGTAAGTACGTATGTATGTATATATAGGTAAGTCATTTTAAATATATTATGACTATATTTTATTCCCAATGCGATAAGCAAATAACTTATAAAGCAGATGTTGCTACTATCATTAAAACGTTTTATTCTATTTAATGATTTTTTATTTCGCAATTGATTTTACTAATAAACATTAGTATAGAGTCATGAAATTACTAACATTTAGTGTCTAGACTTGCAGTTTATGCAGATGAAAACACATTTTTATGGAATATTTTATTTAGAAACTTTCACATATGTGGCTCAATAGAATATGAAAAATATAAATTCATATTAATATATCTTCCAAAACGCTCTTCAGGTAATAAAACGAATTCAGCTCTAACAATTGACTGATTAAGTCTTTTTTTATCAGATCAAAAAGATGGATAGAATTACACAACAAATGGTTCAAACTTAAGAAAACGCCAGTAGTGATTTATTCGACGTCTTAGCAAATTTAATATTTACTTACATTCATATTTGAGCATAAAACATCAATAAAACCAATAACATTGGGATCAACTAATTCAAAGTATCGACAGTATCGACAAAAAAGAAATAAAAATGCAGGCAGAAAATGCTTTTTTTTTTTGGAAAGAATCTCAATGTTAATATACTCATATATGCTCTTTTAATTTATGTCAGGGTATGATAATGTACCAAACACTTGCTTATCATGATAATATAATTCTTTTTTTGCTTCTTAATAATATGGAAAACATCAAAAGCCACCGTGAACGTCTCTTACTGAAAGGGCATATGTCTTGCCTCAGTAATAAAATAATGTCAACTGTAGATAAGGCATGTAGTATGATCAATGAACAATTCATTGAAAAAATATTTTACGTTTGGATTCTTAGATTATAAGTGAAACAATTTATTTGGTTTTTTCCAGTATTTCATATTATTTAAACCGACATTAAGCTGAAATAAAACAATGACTTCTGTTGTGTTAAATTCTATCTAAAAAGTGAAGATCATATTTTTTTAACAAAGGAGATTTCTTCTATCGATTTAGTATTAGTGATATTATTTTTTAAAATATCAATATTTTTAAACTATTAAACATTTTGTGACTAAACTTTTTAGGTTGTCTTTTATTTGATACCCAGTATCAAAGACCGGTGTATTGACTTTAAAAATAAAAGACTCTCTTGACAATGCTTCTAAGTGTTTTATATTGGTCTCTTTGCAATATTACAAGTACTATTATAAAAGTACTTGCAGTGCCTCAAATTTATATTTACGTATATTTAAACTACTTCATAGCATATATATCTACTTATATCTAAACTAAACTGAAAATTTGACTAAGGTACTCAGTGCAATTTCTACATTTTTAGCACACATTACAACTATTTGAGTTTGTTTAGATTTCATAGATTAGCAGTAGTCTAAATTTATTGTCAGATATTAAGTATTAAGTAAGTATTAAGAATGAAGTAACAAAACTCCAGAAAAATATGCGAACATCAAAGTCAAATACAACTATAGGTCAGTTAATTAAGGTGCGCTGACTCTGAACTTCAAATTTGGCAGGACACGAGTTCGATTCCTGGTACTTGTAGTATAAAAAAAAATAGAAGAATTATTTCCAAGTCCACTGATGATGAGTATTTGACAATACTCGAAATAGCTATATGGTCAGCTAAAAATTCAATTAATTAATTAAATGTAATTAATTAAAATAATATAAAATTAATATTTGTTGTTGTAGTTCACTACTAAAACCTCGTTAGAGAAATTTTATTTTTAATAATGAATTTTATATCAGTTAAATTAAATTAAATTTATTAACGTAACGTGATATTGAAAAAATATGCTTAGACCGTGTGCGAGTTCAAGGAAATTGATGGTAAATTGGGGAAAATAGTAAATTATGTCGATATGGCAGCGAATGTTGGTATTTACCAAAATTTCGAGTAGAATAAAGTAAATTTGGCGTTACCATTGTGGAATTTTTATAAGATGTTTTAATAAATAAATTTAACCAAAAATAATAAATAAATATTTACATAAATGCAGTGTGAAAAATCCCTAGAAATGTCCACTTTAGTTTACCTCAATTTACTTGAACTCGCACACGGCCTTAGTTTGATATCTATTTAATATATTAATATTGAGTTTCACTTATTGAAATGATTGCAGACTTAAGAAATATTTCTTATAAACTTTGAGAGAAATAAAATATAAGATAACAAACCATAAACCGCAACCGCCTGGTTCTGTCTCAACTCTCAGGTGATTAAATATAACACCAGAGCTTAAAATAATTATTAAATATGCATTAAATAACTTTTGAAGTATATTTTTATAATCCCTTTAGTCTGGCATAAAAATGATGAGGGATTAATGATGACAGTTGCACTACAGCAGGTGGCACTTCAAACCACAGAAAGCCAAATAACGAATGACAATTGAAGCAAAAACTCCCTGGCAAATCGAGAGTGAAGCGGATATATGTACCTATGTACGTGGGCATTGGTGGGCGCAGGAAATTACTTCCACTTGAACTTTGACAAACTTTTGCAATATTATGAAATTTCAAACGAAAAGAAAAAATGTTCTCCGCTTTTTAATATATGTACATTAATTGTTTGTATGTTTGTACTTATTTGGTACACTGGTACACTAAATATGGGAATACTACGTTTCACCTTTTTACATTTAAGATCAAAACTCAGGTCCATTAAAAAAAAACTAAACTAGCTTCATTGAATTCATTCAACTCGATGCCAAGAAAACTAGTTTTCGAAACACCCAAGCTTAAGCTCGGCAAGCGCAACCTGAGCACGTCCAATATTTATCAATAGGTAAGTTATTGATGCTGCGGAACGCAAGGGCGAGCACACAACACACAACACTCAACACTAAACACGCAACAACAACAGTAATAGCAAAAACAATAAAAACACTAGTGCTAAAAGCAGCAGCAACAGCAACAGCAACAACAAGTAAAGTTATTGAAAATAAATAAATAAAGCATAAATTTAATTAAATTAACATCTTAATGCGAATACCAACAAGTACACAGTACACAAGTACAGTGAAAATGAAGTCAGTCAGTTCATGTTTTTAGTAATAATTACATTAACAATTTTACTCACTAACACTAAGCACGAAAAATATATTTTAAATAAGTTTAACTAAATGTTTAAGTTCCGTTTGAGGCTAATAGTAATACATTTATATATTTTTTATCAATATTTAAATAAGCCCATTATCATTTTATTTTAGTTTTTTCTTTTGTATTCACCTTTTTTAATTGCTTTCTTCCGTTTTTTTTTTTCTTTCTTTAAGAAAAACTCAACACTTTATACGTAATGATTATTTTCACTTTTAACTTTTTTTACAATTTGATTTGATAAATATTATTGGTAATGTTTTTGTTATTTATTTATTGACTTTTTTACAAAAACACCTCAAGGAACAAAAACAATTGCGTGCCCTCAACTTTTCTTCGTTCCAATTTGTCGTATGAACAGAAAATGAATTAAGTAAAATAAAATTTTCGTTTTTACTCTTACTTCAGGGTTGCATTGCAGTGGAAAAAGCTAAAATGGTACTGCATTTGCTTCTTCAAATACGCTTTCGACATTTTTCATAGCGATTAAATCGCAAAGCTTGAGAAGAGTACAAAATATAACATTTTTAAGATTTAAATAAAAAGAAATTAATACAAACAAAACTGATCAAATTGCAATTGCTCAGGAAGAATACAAATTATGTGATTTTAAGTTTTAAATAAAAAAATATTAATACGAATAATAGCGATTAAATCGCAGAGGTCCAGAAGAGTACAAAATATATCATTTAAATTAAAAAATGTTAATACGCATAATAGCAATCAAATTGTAATTACTCAGGAAGAATACAAAGTTTGTGATTTTTAAGTTTTAAATAAAAATATGTTGATATAATTAATAGCGATTAAATCGCATAGATCCAGAAGAGTACAATATATATCATTTTTATGATTTAAATAAATAGAAATTAATCAGCAAGAGTACAAAATATATCTTTTTTAAAATTTAAATAAAAAAATGGTAATATGTACAAATAATAACGATTAAATCGCAGTTCCTCAAAAAGAGTACAAAAATATCATTTTTAAGATTTAAATAAAATAATTTTATAACGAATAATAACAATCAAATCGCAATTGTTCTGCAAGAGTACAAAATATATCATTTTTAAAATTTAAATAAAAAAAAATTAATACAAATAATAGCAATAAATCCCATTTGCTCACGAAGAATACAAAATATGTAATTTTAAAGATTTAAATAAAGAAATGTCTTTCGTAAGTCCTATGCCAACAAGAAATATCAAATATTTTTTTATAAAAAATAAATAAAATTTAACAATTCAAATTAAAAATATAATTAATTAATTCAATTATTCTACAGCTGATTTTTGATTTCGTTCTAATGTAGCATAGCAAGTTATTTTGTATGGTTTTGGGTCAGTTTATTAATGAACACTGACTCTGAAATTCAAATTTGGGAGGGCACGAGTTTAATCCTTAGTACTTTCAGTTTCAAAAAATTATTTACGAATAATTTAATATGAAAAATAATTTCGAAATAGATGTATGGTAAGTCAAAATTTCAATTAATTAAAATAATATAAAAATTTTTTTTGTTGTTGTAGTTCACTATTTTTCGAAACAGTTTCTATTAAAGTAAAAATAATCACTCCTATCATATTAACGTTAAAATCAAATTTAATATAAAAATTAATAAATCAATAATAATGTTTTTGTTATTAACTCCGAGATGTTTTATTAGTATTCCTATCATATTAATATAAATTCAAATAAAATTAAATAAATTAGTTGCTGTTCATCTTTTAAAAATAATCTATTTTTTATTAAATACTTTTGAATAGCGCAATAAGTCGCCGGTGCTTTATACGAATATTTTTTAATTTAAAATTAAATAATTGATTTTGCTATTTTCAATATTAAAGTTAAAGTTAATACGACTCATTTTAAAACAATAAATTAATAATTAACTGTTACGTCCTAAATTGTTACGGCTAAAGGTCAGTTAATTTAACACTAAAAAATAATAATAAGACACTTATTAATTTTTTTTAAAATTGTTAATACCTAATTTTTAAAAATTAAGTTTTTTCAAAAATTATTAATAAATTTATTTTTTATTATTATTTATTTATTTTTGCTATATATTCTTTTAATACACCTATTTAACATAATAATAACAATTTAAACACAAAGTAATAAGTTTTTTATTATTATTTTTATTGTTAAATAACTGACCATAATCCTTGTAAAAATAAAAAAATTTAGCAATATATTAAACAAAATATATATATCCGTTTTTCAAAACAATATATTAAATATAATAACAATACGCGTTTGACTGAAAAGGTAAATAAATAAAAAGATAACTAAAAATAAAAACTAACAAAATGATAATACGAAACATTTATAACCAATTTCTCCAATATTACAAGTATAACAAAGTATTCTCAATCGTTTCTCAAGTCCTCAATCGTTATAAAATATTTACCAGTTACCACTACATTCGTACACAATTTTTTTACAATTCCATTTTTTCTTAAAATAGAAGAGCGGTCAGATATTTGTTCCGGAACTACTCGACAATCACTACGACCAAGAGCGGCTAACCAGTCCCAAGGGGTATACCAGCAGGTGTGGTAACTTTACCATGCACCTTCAGGCTCTTTGCATCTTGTTAGTCCTCTCATCTATACTTTAATTGATCTATTGGAAAATAGGTTAGTAGAAAAAGTTATTAAGTGTATCATGAATATGCAAAATGTATCCACGGTTAAACAAATTTTTAATAATGCCTTGAGTTCCAAAATGAACCCAATAGTTGGGTTCATATAATCCAAAAAATTATAGTTGCCAAATTCTTTACTAGACTACATTGTGACCGAAAAGTTTTCGGAAATTCTCATTTAAAATTCGCGCGCTGTATATTTTTCGATATTTTAAGTTTATGTAGTTTGGCAGCACTGTCCTTAATTACTATGCCAAAAATGAGCGCGATCTGTCAGACAGTTCGTTTACGGCAGCTGTTGAAACCAGTTCACCTCAGTAGTGCGTTGCGAAAAAAACAATGGAAAAAAATATTGAACAAAGAGTTTGCATCAAATTTTGTGTTTCGAACGAAATTTCGTGTGCAGAATCGTTGCGAATGCTACAAAAGGCTTATGGGGAATCAGTTTTATCGAAAACTCAAGTTTATGAGTGGTACAAAGCCTTTCAGGACGGTCGTACGACCGTCGAAGACATGCCGCGTTCTGGACGACCTTCGACCTCTACCACCGACGAAAACATTGAAAAGGCAAAGGAAATCGTGTTCCAAAATCCTCATGTGAGTGTTAGAGAGATAGCACGAGAGCTAGGCATCGGTCGTGAGATGGCTCGTTTGATTTTGAAGGAGATAAAATAAATATTGATGAAGATTAAGAATTTTGCGTTTTATTTAAAATTTCCGGAAACTTTTCGGTCACAATGTATATAGCTGTTAACATTTTGGTCCCAATTACTTTCCGAATCTTTACCAATTTTTGTATGAGAGAATTAAAAAGATATTTTTAGACAATATAATATCTAACGTACTCATGCTACATATATAAAGAATGAAATAAGTTTAATATTTTTTGAAAATAAAAATAGACACTAACTTCTATAGAATATCATAAATTTTTAATTATACAATATAATCATATTTCATCAAAGTATTATTCTTGAACGAGGTCTATACTAAGGGGCCAAACTTAAACATAATATAAGAGAATTGTGATATATGACACCACCTGAATGTTTAGTCTCAAAGGAATACTTACTGCATAGGAATATTTCCCATTATAAGCACAGGTTCTGTCAATGGGAATATATAACATCATTTAAAATCGGTTATACATATAATTCTTACCGATAATTAATAAAAACATAATTTTAAAATCCTTTACCGATACTATCGACCAGAAAATTTTACGATCTTGTATTTATAGCAGTACGAATAAAGTTTATCTAACAAATTATATATCTTTGAATGTTAGACTTAATATATTAAAATATTTTGAAAATTTTTATATCCATTGATTTATGATATCAACAAAAAACATTATTGATCCATGAACAATAACACCTAGAGTATTTCTATAAGCTAACTCTTAAAGCGATTAATTTAAGTTTAATAATAGTCAAAAGAAGAGAAAATCTTTACTCTAAAATGTTGATAATGTTAACAATATTATCAAAAATCCTATCCTATACTATTATAAACAATCTTCTTAATCTCTTTCAGCTTTCTTTCATACATTTAAATATTTTCACATTTTTGAAGGAGTATTAGAGTATTTATAAAAAAAAACCACTTAATCAAATTCACAAACATTCCAGAGTTAATTTTGTTTAATAATTGTTTTATTTTCACTGCATAGCATTCCAAATCGTACATCTATGTTACAACTATACACAATGATTGCGATCCGTACGATAACACAGTTATCACTTATTAATCTATTTCTCCTTGGGGTCACCCTTGCCACCACGTATTCTACCGGTACGACGGGCAGCAATAAGACCGACTTTGCGACCAGCTGATGTACCACGTTTAACTGTGGAAGCTTTACCAATATGTTGATGGTTACCACCACCGTGAGGATGCTCAACAGGGTTCATAGCAACACCACGTACCTTAGGCCAGCAGTTACGTTTAACCTTGTATTTGTGGTAGGCACGACCAGCCTTAAGAATTGGCTTATCAATACGACCACCACCAGCAACAATACCGACCATAGCACGATTGGCAGATGGTACAACCTTCTTGGCACCAGATGGCAATTTAACACGTGTCTTTCTGGTATCTGTATTGTGGGCAATAACAGTAGCATAATTGCCAGAGGTACGAGCCAAACGACCACGGTCGCCAGTCTTCTCCTCCAAATTGCAAATAATGGTACCTTCAGGCATCTGCGACAATGGCATTACATTGCCAATTTGTAGTGTTGCTTTACGTCCGCAATATAAGAATTGACCGGTGTGCATACCCTCGGGAGCAATGAAAAGTTCCTTACGGATCTTGTAGCGATAAGGATCACGGAAGTGAACGACAGCCAAAGGGGCGCCACGACCGGGATCATGTACAATTTCCTATTATATATGAAAAACAAAATTATTAATACCATATTTTCTTTAATTAAAAAGTTAATAACATACCTTAACTACACCGCGTATGTAGCCGTTGCGTTCAGCAAAATCTAATGGTCTCAATTTAGCGGCTCCCTTACGTTTCTTTACGTGGGCCTTGAATACTGACCCAGCACCTTTACGTTGTGCACGAATAACGCGACCCATTTTTGGCTTTTAGAACCTTTAAAGATACAAAATATTGTATTAACAATTGCTTCATTAGAACACACATTCACTAATAAGACACACTCAAATTTTTCACAAATTCCAAGCAGAATGTTGCGCTTTAGATTTAACAATGTAAAACGCACAACACAATATAATTTATCAAAATAAATTTTATTTTCAAAAGAATTTTACTTTTCAATTGCATTGTTATTATTTTTGCTTTACGATGGTCAAACAATTTCATAATTTTAAAAGATTAAATTTAAGCATACTACACCTACCGAAAGCCTGTTAAAAAAGAAAAGAAAAGGTGGAAGGAAGAAGTACGCAAAACATGCATAAATGACAATCGCGACAATGTTGCCAACAAGCGCGACAAATGTCAAATTTTGACATTTTCTTTTTCACTAGCATTTCACTTCCGCACAGGGTTGTTAGATTTTTAAATATTAAATTCTAAATACAATTTTCATGAATAAAACAATATAGATTTTAAATATTTAGCGGGCTAATAAACTATAATTTTTTATTTATATTTAAAAATAATAGATTTTAAAATTATTTCTTTTATTAGTCATAATTTTTTTTTAATGAATACATATAAATATATAGATATATATATATATTGTAAACATTAAAAATTAAACAATATAAATAATAAACAACAAAATGAATAATAGAAGAATAATGGTAAGCATTCTTTATTAGTTTCATAAATTGCAATTAGTTATAATGGTATATTACTTAAATCAATTTGATTTATATTTATTTGAGATGATTTTTAAATGACTGTGATTATATGTATTACTCAATAGTATAATTTTAATATAAATCTTTGTTACATAACTGATATCCTGTACTAAATTTAGCACTGCCTGTTACGATTTAACATAAATACACGTATGTATATTCCTTTTATCTTCGAACTACGAAGATTATCATCTTTACTTCCTTATCCTTATTTTATTTTTTTATCATATGTTAACTCTTTCAATAGAAACTTTGGTAAACACAAATGTTCATACATAGCCACATAAATACATAGTGTAGAGCTTTTATATATCTGCTGAGTGCTGTTTTATAGTAATATTTAAAATTGCCAAGAGAAGGGTATATATAAGAAATAGTTTGCAAACTTACAATTGTAAATTATAGATTTGATATTATGAAGAATTTGAAATTACGCTGAAGTACTCAACAGCACTGTTAAGAATCGAAAATTGAAATGATAATTATATACTGTATATATACATATATATATATATATATATTTATTTTTTGCAGTTTTTACAATACATTGAAGAAGATATCAGAAGACTGTTTTACTTTTATTGTCGCGTAACTCTCTAAAGAACTTTGGGAAATGAAACCATATTTTTACTAGGAGTTTTTTTACTTCAACAAAATTTAGCAGCGCCCGTTAAAATTTGGCATGAAAATTTTCGAAGATTCTGAAGACTTTTGGAGCATTGTTGTTGCTTTATATGTTTGCTTTCGTAAGTTGCAAGTATTTTCGTTACTCTCTAAACGAAAAAATTACTGCTATTATTTTTAATTTGTGAATAGTTAGCAAACAAATCAATGAATCAGTGAATACTTGTACTATAAAGGGAGTATTTCAGATTTTCGAGCGAACAATATAAAATAAAACACGTGAAATTAGTTTGTGAGCGACAAATAACTGTTAAATTTTGGAAAGATGACGTGAGCCAAAAAAAAATTGCTGAAGATATTGGTCGTCAATATTCATCTGTGCAGAGAATTACAAATAAATTTCTCAAATTTCGCAGAATTGTTCTACTCGATTTTTATGTTTTTTTTGCTATTGATAGCTTGATTCTCTATTCTCTATTAGATGTATTTGCGTGCAATATTGTACCTTTTCTAGATTTTTCTAAAAATAAATTTTTTTAAAAAAGTCGATTTTGGTCAATTTTTATTTTCCCTATAATTTGAAAAATACGCATCGTATTTTAAATTGTTAAATGCCAATCGAAAGATCTTTCAAAAGTCTATAAGAATAATGCCTTTTATTTTAATTCCTTATATTAACGAAAATATCATTTTTTATAAATTTTTTAAAAATACAGCTTTGCGTTTTCCAGCAACGTTGCTAAATTTCATGACATTTCGATTAGTCAGAAAAAAAGTAACAGCCGTTTATGTGGAGCTACTTTTGTTATTTTCAAAACAATGGATTCAAAACAATTGCGTGTGTTGATTTATCATTGCTTCTTGATGAAAAAAAAATATTGAACAAGCTTAGCATTGGCTTCAAAAGTTTTATCCGGACTCTGCCCCATCGGAAAGAACCATTTTTTATTGGTTTGATGAATTTAAACATGGTCGTACAGACACCGATGATGGTGATGATCGTCCAATTATGATGGTTACTCCATCATTATGATGGTTAATCAATTAATTTTTTATATATATTTTTGATCTATAATTTATATAATAACTAGTTAATAAAATAAATATGTATGTTTTAAATAAATATAAAAATTAAATTGAAAAACTTTCATTAAAATTTATGTTTTTAGTTTGGGATTTACTGCACTCATTTAAAGCATGACACCTCACTATTGTTGACTTTGCTCACAAAGCTTGTGTTCAGTTTATATTGTTTAAAGGATAACAATATGATGGAAAATATCCAATACTATTATGCCAACCTCTCAAGACTCAGACGTTAATATAACTGTTTTTGTCCACTTTGTTTGAAGACATCAAGGAACATTTCCAATGCTTTTGTCCCGACCTCTCAATATTCAAATTAAAGACAACTGCTTTTGTTCACTTAGTTTGGAAGACGATAATGTATTGGAACATTTTCCATGATTTTGTCCCGATTTTTCCAGATTCAGACTTAAAGTTCATGAGTCCAACTTTGTAAGTAGCTTATCTCTTTTAAATGTGCTTCACTTTTTCAAAAGGAACTGCACATTTTTGTAAATAATTGGCATGAGACTCATAATATATTGGAACTTTAAGGTCTGAGTGTTGTATTCATTCTTTCTACAAGAATGAAAGGCCACTTCGATGCTTTTCATCGATGTTTTTTGGTACATTTCACTGTAAAAAAAATTGCATTATTTTATTTTCTCTACCATTTCTTCCAAATGCTCGCTAAAGATTCTTATAATACTCTAAAAATAAGTAATCTTTTTAATTTCTTAAAAAGTTAACATTTCAAAGTTTTACCTGAACTTGTATGATCGCACGACATCGGTTACATAAACAAATAGCTCAAAGACGTCGACCACTATATTAAAACTTATCTTTCTTATATGGTTTTTCTCAGCAGATTTTCTATGTCTAGTTATGACGTAAAAATTTTATACAATAGTACAGAGAAGAAAATATTTTAACAATGAACTGACTTCGACGTAAAAATAATTGCCAGGCTTTCTTTTATAACGTCACGTTATATTGTTACAGTTACACAATATACTATTCTTTAATACGAGTATTTTTAAAAATATGAGGTAGTATAGCACATAAGCTATATCTTATGAGATCATTATCATATTATAGAATAGATCAATCAATGTATTTATTTAAGCCAGAAATATTATTAGGTTGTGGATATATATTTTATAAGCCTTTATTTTAGGATAACAAGTAAAAGTATGTTAAACATGCATTGGAGATCTATAAACTTACAAGGTGGGTTGTAGACATATAATGCAATTTCAGTATGGGTACATCAATAATTCAACGAGTAGATAATAATTCTAATAAAACTGAAGAAAAAAATAATTGAAACGATTTTACAGTAGTTTTACTGATTATAGAAGGCACATTATATTTCTCATTTAAATTGCTTTGTTATTGTTGTTGTAGCCTGCAGGGATCTACAAAGCAGATAATATCAAATGAATTACAAAGACGTATACATACATGGGTTTCATTGTGGATAGGTAATGATAGTATGAGAGGGGAGACGATTGTTTAGGAGTAAGAATGGATTGGGGATGGGCGCGAATTAAATTAAAGTCAGTCAGAATCTAGCAACCTAACCATTTCAATGAGGTGTGTTCAAAAATCAATTGGGTTTAAGTTTGTGTGTATTGGGACAGGATGGGCGACATCATGGGAGATAGAGCTGCAGTTAGCGCTTAAATCGGTATTTGACGCACATGGCTATATTCTCATCTCAATTGAACTAAGACAGTACTTGCAGCACGTGAAAGGCGGCCTCTCATTATTCGCATGAACTCTAAGAGCAATTATTGAATGTAAATGTAGACTTTAAACTTCTTTAGTAAGAAATCTTAAATTTGTAGTGTGAATAGGTATCGGCTTTGATAAGTAATTCAATAAATCATATCGCTTAGCTGGACATTGTATAAATTAATTATGAGTGTATGCATTACTTAGAATAAATATCTCTATTTTATTACTGTAAAATCGTTTCATATCATAATTAATTATAACCAGAAAAATAAACAAATTTTATTTTGATTTTTGCTTTTAATTTTGAGATTATATATTTTGTATTTGTGTGATTTTTTTTTTGTATACAAAATACGCTTTACATGTTTGTTGTTCTGATAAGACCATAAATTTATAGCTGGTTTTGTATATAAAGTTTTCTATTATTAAATAAAAACACATTAATAAAATATATATATTTTTAAATAATAATTTAAAATAAAATATTTGTATTTATTCATATAATAATAATAATATTAAAGTTTTGATATATATACTAAACAAATTAAAAACATCAAAAACATAGACATTATAAGCTATAATATAAATGATATTTTTAAAGTACGACAACAAATAATTAAAAAATTATTTAAAAACACAAAAAATTTTCATTTTTATGAGAGACAAGAAATTATTTTACTTAAAGCGTTGATTGAAATTTTGTTAACTTTGCTTGAAATTTTCCCTTATTATACATTTATATATATATAAACATATATATACATATATATAAATTTATTTTTCTGTAATGCAGTGTTACTAATATGAATAATGGTGTTTTATGAACTTTACCTTTAGCTGACTATTTTTTATAGTTTTTTTTTTATTTCAGTAAAAAAATTACTTAATATAAATACGTTTTAATTATTATAATCCATAAATTTCTGAATTTGTTTTTATATATTTTTTTTTTTTTTTGAAGAGTCTACGTTTTTTAATATTTTCATTTTAAATTTTGTGTTGATCTTTAATATAGAGTTTTAAGTTTATTTAATAATTTTTATTTAAATTTTATATGCTTTTAAATTGATTTTTTAATTCATTTTATTTTTGTAAATAATTTTTATCACTTAAGTTTTTACAATGGCGTTTCAGTATTGATAATAATAATATTTATATATTTAAATAATAATAAAAAAAAGTAATTACGTTAAAAGTATTTTTGACTTGAATTGTATTTAGAAAAAAAAAACATAAACGATTATGATTAACAACAAAATTAAGCGAAAAGGAGCACATTTCAAGTAGTAATACAGTGAGATATTTTTAAATGATTGATGGTCAATAGCAATACTTAAATTACGCTTGAATTTCAAGTCATTTTGGTATAGAATAAAGGTATAAAGGTTTATATAAAAAATTCAAAGCATTAAGTTACCAGCACAGTTTTCTAAGAAACGAATTCTTTAGCACAGTAAGCAGAACAGAAGTATATGATTTACTTTCGGTTGAGATCTCCAACAAATCAGTTATTTCGTTGTGATAGAAAATCAAATAGCAGCAACGCTTAGAAAAATAAGTATAAAAAAAATAAAATTATAAAATTAAGAAAATTAAATTTTGAATATTTATATATAGAATAAAACAGAATTTTATATTCCAACTGATCATAACAAATGATAACTTATATATAAATGCAATAGATGCTAAATGCTCATTATAGAAGTAACTAAAATAAAAACAAAAACAAAGTATTATGCAACACTTATATATAAAATATCTATAGTTGGTTTGTTGCAGCCATTTACTTAGAAATCGAATGGAACACAGACAAATGTATCTGTATCTTTTTTTATTTCATATATAACCAATAGATTTCTTCAACACGTTTATCTAATCGAAGTGGAAGAGTATAACCTTTTGCTACACATAAAAGTTTTTTAAAATGTAGCATATATTATGTTTAATATAGTTATTATATAGACAGTAGCTTTTTTAACTTATTTTTAAGTAATATAAAATAGTACCAAAATGATTATCAATAATATCATATATATTAGTTAAAATCAAATATTTTTATATTAACATAAAAATCTTTGTTAAGATTAACTGTTAATGTTAAAATAAACTAAATTATATAAAAAATCTCACTGAATTTCTACAATATTAATAATTTTTATTATTTCAAACGTTTGCTTTGAACAATTGACACTTTTCTCTACTACATACTACTTTATTTCATAAGCACTCCCTTTTGCTGGCTCTTATTAAAGTTTGCACGAAAAATAATTTTATAAAAATTTAATAATTTAGTCATAAATAATAAGTTTTCAATATACTGATAGTTTAAAACAAATTTTACATATTATAAAACATTTATTAAAACTTTATATCTAAGTTCGCTTTAAATGCAGTTTAGAAGAGATAAGTTATACAAATTCGATTTATATATATCTATAAAAAAAATTATTTTGACATTTTTAAAACAACCAAATATATATACAAAAATATGTATATGGTTGCCAATAAGAAACAAGAAAAAAAAAAAACAAAAAAAAAAGATTTACATTAAATACAAATAATATGAAAACAAGGCAAAAATTAATAAATTTGCATATCATCTTAGAAGTTTAAAGGATAAAACACTTGTAAGAAGAATTACATGCGGACAGACCGTTAATGATTATGATTATAGTGTTTACTAAATAGCTAATTACTTTATATAAATATTTAAGTTTAATTTTCATTTTTACTACATTAACTAAAAGTTTTAAACTTTAATATAAATTTAGTAACTTAAATAAAAACAAAAACAAAAACAAAACGCGCACACAACACTTAATGAGAGTTGAACATATACTGCAAGTGAATAACAGCATATGTATAAAAAATACTTTTTAAGCACACAGTTCGAATGGAGAAAACTACAATCCCTACATTGGAGAATTGCACATTAATAACTATTAAAGATATTAAAAAAAAAGTATACACGTCAATAAAAACGTTAGCAATTTTTTGTTTGTTTGTAATTTTAATTTAATTAATTTTATTATATTATTATTTTGTTTTTCGGGGATGATTCAAAATACCTAAAAACTTTTTAATATTTTTGTCTCTTTTATTAATTATTGTTTTAAATTTAATTTATTTATATATATATTAATAAATTGTATTGTATTATTATTAATACATATACAAATATATTTTAAAACTTTTAAATACATATTTTGCATTTATGTATATTTATATATATAAATTTTTTTGTATATAATATTATTACTTTCTCTCAATAGATTGTAATTGAATTTGTATAGATTTTTTTTGTAGTTTATGTTTATAAGTGAATGAATGTGGTTGTGTGTGTGTTTGTGGCCATAATTTTGCAAATATATTTTATATGTATTTGTTTTTTTTTTTATATAATTATTGCATTTCTTTAATTATAATAATAAGAATGTGACTTAAAAATTAACAGTTACCTTAAAATAATATTTATAAAATTAAATTTTACTTTTTTTTATCATTCAAATCGGTTGGTTTTTATGATTTATGTTTTTGTTTCTTTTGTTGTTCATTGATACTATCGTTATGATTTATAGATCGTTACAGACGTTGATAATAATTATTTACCAATTTGCCATTCCAGGCTTGTTAAGTGTCATAAAGTATATTTGACACGATGAAGCACCTTTGGCACTGCTAAAGAATACCTTGTCATTTCGTTCACAAAGGAATTTTAGACGCTGAGCTTTTTTATGCATAAACACACCATCTAAATGGCCACTCTCAACTGAACGAATCTGTAATTTATAAAACAAATATTATAAATATATTTTATTTAATACAAAATGGTAGTATATCACTTACTTCTATTGCTTTATTGCCCCAGCCCATTATTTGTCCGGTACCAATATATGCCACTGAAGTTGGCATCTCTCCCCACTGTAACACGAAATAAAGGTTTTGTAAATAAACAATAATATAGATAAAAAAAAATATATAAAGATCTAAATTATACAAAAGATAATAATAATAATAAAATAATATTTATATTGGAAATATTCAGATGTTATTCAGTAAGGTCCTAAAATCATAGACGCTTAGTAAATCTGTAAAATTGAACTGTAATAGCAGCAGATTTCATTTTTCTTTTTTTCGTGTTAAATAAAAGCAAGAGGTGAAAAAATTAAATAAAATAAAAATAAGTCATGTTTAAATTTCAAATTAGATTCAAACTTTAATTTTTAAAAATTAACTAATGTCTTTAGGATTCCAAGAACGGACGGGTCTACATGTAGTCCGCGGGAATTGTGTAGTGGTGAACGACAATTTGCCGTTGAAATTGATGACTGGCTCCTCGTCTTACACGGAGTCACTTGTTGAGTTGGACGACTAAGTGCCGTTCAACACTGCCAAAAGTGACTATACAAGCAAATCCCTGCGTGCTACAACAACAACTAAAGCGTTATTGAATATCGAAAGAATTATTGGACCTAATGTCACAAAATTTTACGATTTTGCCAGGTTACGATTTAACCGCGCAAATCTGAATACCTCTATTGTTCAGCTTTTAAATTTTTAATATTAACTATTATACTTAATAGAAACAATTGTATTTGATAGAGAGATTTCGAACAATAGTAATAAAAACATAACAAAATTCATAAAGGAAAATTAATAAAATGTTGTTGTTACAATTCACTACTATTTGAAATCTCGCTTAAAATTTTAAGTAAATTCTTACCTGCAATACAAAATTCTTTGAGACACGACCAACAGTATTAACATAGACACCTTCGTTATCATAACAAAGCAATAGTTGCATTCCATTGGAATTTGGAAGAGCCACAATACAATGCGGAATGATTGCACCCTGAGTCTGTAGAATATTTGTTTTAAAATTAGATATTTGTTATTTCATTATTAAATATTTTTAAAAATTTGATACTTACATGTTTAGGAAGATAAATATCGTATACTTCAGCAGAATCTAAATCAACAGCATGGAAACCCTCAGCAGAACCGTAAATCACTTTCAGTCTAGATTGATCCTCAATTGTAAGATCCACTAAAAGTGGACGATGTTCCAATTCACCAAAATTCTATATACAAATAAATGAAAAAATAATTATTAATATCTAAAAATAGCTATATATATATGTTATGTATATAAACATTTGTTAAAATAGAAAATAATATTTATAGTATCCATGTACAAAATTTTATTATTAGTAGAACCTTGTTTCCAAGTACCAACTAATGTCAGGATATAGCAACATGAAGTAAAAAGTTGCTTGTTACAATTTAAATTATCTACTAACACACCGTTCTCACTAACTATGGTAATATGAGAGCAAGGCTTCCCATCCCAAATCCCATATTTGTTATCCTCTTTTTCAATTGTTACGATCTCTTTAAGATTGCTTTACATTCATATATTGACTTATAATGTATTGTATTAATTTCGACAATGACAATATAGAATAACTTCGTGTAATAAAATCAGATATTAGAAATAATAACTTTCTTTTAATTTACATATCATACAAATAGTTATGTTCATGGGCGTAGCCACAGTGGGAAAGGTTATATATTCCTTGGACTTTTTTATTTAATTATTTACTAATATAATAATATATATTAAACAGAACTTTATTGCTTTAATAATTTGCTTTTTAGTTGTTATAAAAAGAAATATGGAAATATGGCTATATGGCTATAATTAATTTACGAAATTTCAAAGTTCAATAATAAATTTATGAATAGTTTAATATTTCACACCATCCACGTGTGTGAGAATAAAAGTTCCATTGGCTCAAACATTTCTATAGAAAATCTCTGTTTACACATTATCAATGATTAAAGAATTTCTTTTGAGAACTTTTACTAATTAAATTTTTTTAATAGAACTTCGGATCTATTAGAATTATTATATGCAAGATCTATTAGATCAGTGTTAATAGATTGTATTTATAGGCTGTATTCAGTACATATTTTTATTACTATTTTGAATAATGTAGTATTTAGATTTAGTTAATGAAATAATTTTAAGACAAACCTTAAATGCCATAAATTTGTGATATGGTTTTGGAGCCCATGCATAGATTTCAATTGAGTCTTTTAATGCAATCACTAGGAACTTAATCCTTTCATATTTCACAATCTTAAAGTGTACAGCACCTTGTAGATCACCAACATTTATCCAACCATTACGGCGTTCAACTTGCTAAAAAGTTAAAAAAATATATATTGATACATAAATAAAAAGTTATTTAATTAATAATATTAAATATATGTTAAACAACTTACGTCTGATAAGCCATCAGTGCGCAAAATTTTTGATTTTAACCATGATAAGTAATATACACGTACGCGATTCTTTTTACCAGATATCGTTACCAGAATATTTTGTCCTTCAAGCACCTCCATTTGTTGGAATCGACGACGAGAAATAAGTTGATATACCTAAAAGAATTAAATACAAATATTTTACCAAAATATATAAAAATAATATGTATATTTTAAAACTTACTTTTCCTTGACCCGAACGATCCAATAACATAAGACCATTTTCTGTACCGATTAATAGATTAACACCCCATAAGGCAGCACACAAAATTTCAGAATTGAAACGTTTTTTGTATTTACGTATTTCCGGTGTATCACTAGCAGCGTCATGAGATGTTGGTGTCACATTAACATTGACATGAGACTCACGACGCGATGGTCCCGAACCGCCAGCACCAAATCCAAATGTAAGGAAACTACGTTGTTTCTGTTGTAGGGCATGTGCATGCGGTGGCAAGTTAGCGGAAGATGAATGCGGTGACGATGTATTGGAAGAAGAAGAAGCAGATTTATGTAATAAATTAGTAATACTACTGGAAGAACGAGTTTTACAAATTGAATTTTTGGGACTATTCTGACGTGACGAAGACGACAATGAAATTGTCGATTGTGGAGAATTATTGGAAGCAATAAACGATTTAGACGGCGTGGAATGAACTGATGAACTAATGGCCGCTTGATACTAAAGAACATAAGAATAAAATATTGAAAAAAAATATAAAAAATTTTAATTATTATTTAGTAATTTATTTCATTTCACAAACAATATATACATATATATAAATAGATAGTAAATATATACATTAAGTGAGCATAAGGAAAACGAGCGCTTAAATAGCAAAAGTGTACGGAAAATAAGTGCTATATTACAAGAAATTACAACAAGTAATAAGCAACAAATAGCAACAATTTTATATATATTAAAAAAAAAAAGAATAGATTTATAGAAACCAACGATCGTGTAGTGTAGAATGTTAGTAGTCAATATTTGAATGCTAAAAGTATATTTAAATATAAATACATAATTCTAATAAAAACATAAGTGAGTAGAAAGTATAATGTGATTAGTCTTTCCCAGACGCCATGGAACAAAAATATATAAGTGTTGAAATATTGCAGGTTCTACGATAATTAAAAAAGGTTTAAGTAACGTAAAATCAGTAGTTGAGAATTTATATTATTTTTTCATGAATTATGTTCTTTATATAAATTTATATATATTATTTTATGTGTACATGTGAGAATATGTTTTCTTCTGTGTAAAAAATAAATTCAGCTTTAGAGCAAATTAAATTAAGATTTACAGTTTCTATAGATTGTTACAATATTAAACGATTGTTAGTGATTATTAATCAGTTGATATGAATATTTAAGAACGTGTAGATAAATTTGTACTTGATATTGTTAAGTAGTTAAAGACATGTAAGTCATGATTATTATGACTTCTTATTAATAAAATTTTATAATTATTATTTTTATTATTATTAAATGAAAAATATTTAAAAAGTGCAAATCCTGTTATTTTATTAAAGAGAAAAGTTTGTATATTTTAATAGTTTGATATTGAATTTATGTTTTATATATATAGCACCAAATACGACAGTTTTGTCGGTGTAAACAGATCTGTACTGAGATGAATCTTTGGTTTCATAATTGAATATCCTTCAAAGATGGAACTAAAGTATACCGAAACCTGTAGAATATGCGAAATGCAGACTAAAACTACATTGTAAAGAGTGAAAATTATTCTTTTGGAATTTCTTCTTTAGAGAAGAATATCATTAGATGATTAGTAATGTTTTATACAGAAACAAAATAAACTCTAGTAAATGAGTTCTTATAATATTAATTATTTTTATATAACAAATAAATATTTTTTATTTAAAGATTTCATTTCCACTGTTTATATATAAGTTTTTTGTAGTTATACACTAAAGCTCTTCTAATGTTAACCGAGCTTTTCGATGCTTCAAGCATAGATGTGTTTATGAGCATAGATGTTTGGGATGCTCATAAATATTCGAACATCATTTCCTGATATATGTAGTATGTATTTGTATTAAACAAAATGAAAATAAAATGAAACATTGACTACATGCACCATTTGAATAGATGAATAGACTGAATAGTTTCAGCAGCTTAAACGTTTAAGCCTGATTTTACAGTCGAATCTTAAGTTTCAATGATTACATAGTCAATGCATAGGTAATCGACTTTGCTGACTTAATTCAGACTTAAATTACGAATGTGAAATCGGAGCTTAAAGTATCTGATCTAAAATTAAAATTAAAGAACACATATGATTTATTACATATAATAAATAAACGTGTATTTAAATGAATGTGTTAGCATTTATATTAATTTTATATTTAATAATTAATAAAAATTGGTGGATCTGTTTGTAAAGTTTTAAACATAAAATTAAAATTACAATCACATTACAAACACAAGTTTCAGTAGATTTAAAATAAATATCTCGTAGTAATGAAAGCTTAATGAAGTCATTTTTCAGCAATCAAAAGTAAAAAACAAAAAAAAAACGAAAGCTGTAATATAGTTTATATACCAACTTTTCATAATTTTTTACATTTAACTGACAATATACTGGTAATGTTTCTGACTAAAGTATATATAGAAATTTCATATTCATATAGCATATGATAAAGTATGAATCATATCAACTGATATAAATCTAACATGCATCGCAAGTGTTTACATACATAATTTTAGAAACGTTAAATTTATTTATTTATATTTATTATAATGTAATCAAAAATATTTATTTAGCATTTATACACATAATTTAATACATCTTCTTAAAAAGAATCACACACAATATATTTTATTTTTATTTTTATTTTTTTATAAAACTAAAAACTTTCATTTTTTATACAAAAATTAAATTGTTTAAATTTGAAAAAATTTAAAAAATCTAATATCATGATATATACACTATAATGAACAAATTCAATAACATATATATATATATATTAATAAGAATAAATGATAGAAACATTCAATGAAACATAAAAGTTAAATAAAATAATTGATTTTCATTTTATTACTATACACAAAAACAGTAGAGAAACAAAATTTATATAAAATTATTTTTAATTTGGGTGCTTTTATATATTTTACAAATAGTTAACTATATAGAGAACTTTTAATTTGGATATGTTTTTGTCTAAATTGTTGTTTTGAAAAATACTTACTATTTTATTCTTTTGAAATTTTGGCTTTTTGAATTTGTTAAAAATTTCGTTGTGGCCATCAGCTCAAACGTCGCGGAAAGACAAAACACAATGAAGAAAAATTTTTTTAATTTTTGTTATAATCATTTGTTATCAGTTATAATCAGTAAGTTCTAAACATTTTCTAATTAATTAAGTTTACTCTTAATCCTAATAAATATATATCTAAATGATGAACAAAAAACAAATTAATTTATTCACATGCTAAACTGAGTCTGACTAAATATTGACTAAATTAACTAAATATTTGGCAGGCATTTATTCATTCATCCATTCATAACGTTCTTTATCGCGTATATAATTTGTTAATATTGTAATTAGTATAAATTCGAATTATTAATTTAATTCAATTAAAATAATTTGAAGTTAGTCACAATGCAAAGTTAATTTGCAATCCCAAATATGCATACACAATTCTGTTTATATAATACCTTTAAACGAAAAAAAAAATGCTAGAAGTATTCACAAAACCGATTATATGCTTAGCTAACTAATTTGATTAAAAATATTATACGAAAAAAAAACTATAAACATATAATTTAAGCTATTTCAAACCTATAAACTATTTCGTCGATTGCATGAATAAATTAAATTTGATTATTTATAATTGCATATTCCGTTAGAAAGTGCTGGTGGATAGCACAAAGGTTCAACCAAACAACTAACAAGAAAGAGGAAAACTAAACAAGAATGTGACAACACATTTACTTGTCAGTTAAGTTAAAAGAATACTGACAAATCTAAGTACCGTTGCCGGACTTTCAAACTTTTTGAATGAAATACAAACACCGGAGGTTTTTCTACTCAACTTATTAAAGAGTTCATCTAATCTTAATACTTTATTCCTCACATTTCTTAATCATTACATGCTAACTTTAAACCGCTTTGCGTAGATATACTCTTAATATTAAAGCCAAGATTGTTGATTCGTTAAAAATCCTATATTATTTCTTTGCAAACGGTTTTTCTTTTTTTCCAACTAAAGCGTAGATCTGATGGTAACAATAAGGATTTCTTCCATTCAACTTCAAGATTAGAAACAATCAATGATTATCTACGCAGTTATATTACAAAGTGTCTTAAGCGACCTTCTGACTTACTTCAAATGGATTATCTTCTGATCATCTTTAATGCCTTGATCAGAATCTGATGAGTTATTGTGGTGGTACAAGTCATTTCCTATACCTTAGTGAACTTATACAGGGATAATAGCTTGTTTATAGTTTTAAAAATGGTTTTCAAATCTTTACAGTTTATCAATTCTTATAACCCCTTATTATTTAAACCTTATAAAAATTTCTCCATATACATATCAAATCATTCGAGTTTCTCCTGTAATTATTAAAATAGTGTTCCAACAATTGGTTCTCTGCGGTCTGTTTGCTAGAATTTTATCTATATGCCTTTGTAAGCGTTGCTTCTGGTAGGTTAGGGTCTCACACAAATTTTTTTACTTACTACAATAAAAAAATACTTCCAAGACTTGCAATAATTAAAATAAACTAAATTTGATTAATAGACATCTGATTTTTTTATACAGATTTTTTAAATTGGCTAAGCAAATAATAAATATCGTGAACACCTCTACTTTAATTGCTTTAAATATTTACCCTTAAATATTTAACCAAATGTAATACAAACAACAACTGCAATAAACCCACATATATGTTATTTACTAAACATATATGGTGATTTCAAAGTTAGCTACAAACATTTTTTATAATACGTGATATAAAATGTGATATATCGAATGTGTATAGTATCAGCACTATTATTTTTAATATGTATAATTATAAATTTTCATTTTCAGTGTGTTGCTATTAAAATTTAAAACAATTTGCTTTTGTTAAATAAAATTTGTGCACTTAATGAATCTGCATCTGTATTATCTTCATTAGCACTAATTGTAATTAATTCAACATATTTTTTTTTTTTAAATCTTCACTAGAATTTTATTTTTTATACATTTTATCTTTTCTATTATTATTATGTTGAAGCTGTTTTGAGCTAGTACACTTAAGCACTTATACTCTTTTTTAACTCGAGGTATTTTTTAAACCCCTCTTTACACATTGTCTAGCTTCATTTCAATTTTTATAAGAAATCAATCAAGGCATGAGGACGAATAAAAAAATATCTATAAAACTATTTTTAGTTTATAACACTTTTTTTTTTATAGTTTTAGAAATACATAACATGCTATGAAGAATTAATAACCCACTTGTGTACTTTAAATAAAGTAACAAATTGAACCTGTAGAAATTATATGTATATAAGTAGCCGTCTGTACCTCTCTAAACTACTCGTCTTTTTAGACGACGAAATACCGTTCACACCTACCAAAAGAAACTTAAAAACCCTGGTTTGCTTTTAGGGTTTCTATAAGAATATAAGACTGCCTTGATAAGCTAAATCTACTTGGTGAATCAAATCAGATGTTGATTCTTTGAGTACCGGGACATACTGACGTACGCGGACAAATTAGTCAGGAAAGAAGCAGTTAGATCGATGATGGGGCCGGAACCTTTTTGTAGAGTAGGACATAGTACGCGTCTTTCTCTCATAAAAATAAAGAATAACCAGAATAAAAAGCATTACTGGGATAATATACCAGGATTAACACAATCCAAATCATTTATTGATACCTATAATATAACAATAAGAGATGCCAGGATTGTGTGAACCTATCAAAAGAAAAACTAAGAAACATCACAGCAATACTAACAGGGCACTGTAAACTAAAATACTATGGGTATACATACGGATGCAAACTGTAGATTCTGTGAAGAGAATGAGAATGAGTTTTGATGATTTTCATCATAAAAATTTAACCAAAATTAGTTAGTGGAATTTAGATTAGATTTCGCCTTTTAAGCCGTTCACGATGATTTTTTATGAAATTTTTTTAAATCGGCTAAGAACATAATTTGGTTTGTGAACACCCCAACCTTACACGATTTCTGATATACAAAAGAAAGGATAATAATTGTAAATATTTAAAAAGCTAACGTTATATTGAAAATCCTTGATGTGATGAATATTAAATATCCTTTAATAAAACATATGACAATATTTAATGAATTTAATAGTACTAAAAAGGCAATATAAACTATGTCCAAAATACACTCAATTAAAGAATTTAATATAGAAGTACTTTAGAATCGGATGACAAAATATGGGTTTTTATGGGTTTCTATTAAATGCTATAAGTAACCTAATATTCGTAGTTTGGAATATTGATGAAATGAAACTTTATGTTTTCAATTTAACACACAAGCAACAAAATGACTTTATGAATATAATGCATGTGTGTGTGTGTGTATAAGGAGTATGAATGCAGATAGATACTTGATTAGTAAATGATGCAATTCATTAGCATACAAATGCAATTGTTTCAATTTTAATAAAACATTAAAGACATTAAAAAGTATGAGTCATTTAACGATACAATAAAGTTTATGGCATAAAGAAACAAACTGGTATGAGAAATTTGTTTATATTGCAATAAAACGAATACACAAATTATTTATATAAATACGAAACTCTTAAATATTGTTTGACAATTACTTTTCTTTTTATGACGGAGACAAAAAACTAATTAAAAACGTAATAAAATTATAACAAAAATAAAGTTTATAGATTGCAATGAAGCAATATTACTAACCTCTTCACTGGAGGATTTATCATGACGTGGCGGTGTTGCTGGTGAAGCCTGACTAAGCAAGTCTGGCAAAACACTGCTGGTGCGAGTGCCGGGTGTACCCAGTCCACTGTTTTCACTGCTACGATTCTAAAGATATAAATATTTAACATCATTATATATTTAGTATATGCATTAAAATAAAAAATAAAAATAAATATTTTGCTTTTAAAATAGTTTTTAGCGCTTTTGTGTATAATGAATGCCAATGAGACTAGAAAAACACATGATCTTTATATGTGATTATGTTTTTCACATTTTTTTTTTCATATCCAGTAAATCCAGTACATGATTTATTTGTATTTAATAAATGAATCCTTACAATATTAAACCCCATCATATAAATAATTTATAATAATTTAATATAAATGAATTCATCAATTTATTATAAATGTATATTATAATCCATATTACTTAGATTTATACATAAAAACTCTACCGCTTATAATTTGATCAGTCAAAATTGTTTTAAAGCAATAAAATTTACTATAATTAATTATTTAAAAATTATTTAATAATTATTTAAAACATTTATTAGTCGTTCACATTTACTTTTGCGATATATTGTGTATGAATATTATTATAAATATATATATATATATATAGACACTGAGTAATGTATATATTCGATGTTTTGCAGCTGGCAAACAATTGCAATTGGCTTTATTTTATATTAAAAATAATAATTTTTTTCGATATTTTCATTAAACCAAACCATATTTTAGACAAATATAAGCTTTAAAACAATTTTGAACAGAAAATTACTAAGATAATAAGTTTTTACTTAATACACCCAATCACATATATAACATATTAAGCAATAAATTAATTTTTAAGAAAATGCAATACAAGAATACGTATTAGTAAAGCACATAAATATATATATATTTATATATACTAATTTTTACTAAAATTTTAAAATAAGAAAACAATAAAGTAAAAATGGAATAAAACTCTTCTAAATTTAAGACGCTTTTTAATCTAACCTTATAAGTTAGGTAAAATATACATTTGATCTTAAGAACACTGTATTCGATTGGAGAAATAAAAAATATATATGAAAAACTCACAGAAACTACTAGATAGAAATAAAACCTGAAATCGTCATTGCTGGTGCGACATTTTAGGGAACTCTCAAGCTAAGGAAAAATTTCATCAATTCTATTAAAAGTTGTCCTGTTCTAGCAAGGCAATTTAGGTTGCTGATTTGTTAACTATTAAGACACATTAATCTATGCTATCATCTCAACGAGATGTGCCTGTCTGATATGATATAATATCTCATCCGTTTAGAAGGCGATGAGATTTATAATCACATAGTTTGTGATTACAAGGCTCTTCTCTAGGACCATAAGTCTTTATTACATTTCTGTTATTTTTTTAAGCAGAAATAATATATACTTGTCACAAATAAAATTAATCTATTAACAGTATTTTTTAAATAAGAAACCTTTTTAAAAATGTTTTTTGTTTTTTTTCAAAAGTAAACCTAAATCTTTGGTATCAGAATGTGCTTAAGTAAACTTTGGTGCACAACGCTGTCACTTCAACGTAACCTAACATCGAAGTCTTTGTTTAAAAATCTCATTAAATAACTAAAAAAGAATTTAAAAAATGCGTTAGCAATTTATCGAATACAGATAGCTCAGTCTAAGATCGATCTGAACACCACTAACATTATCTAATTGTGTAGGACGATATTTTAACAGATATGGCAGTCTTTTGAATTACTATGGCTAGTTCTTGAAACATTGTATATTGCTGGCTTATGATTATAGTTACATAAAATATATATGTGATCTAATATATAGATGATATCACAACAAATCGTTCTGTAAGAAGAGTATTGAAATAATTACCTTAGATTTAAATGAGAATACATTGATTATTTTTTAATCTCAATAATTTTATAAATTATATTTAAATGTAGAGTACAAAATAATATATCTGTTAAATATTACTTTTACTAAACGTAAATTCTGAATCAGATATAATTAAATATCGATTTTATTCGTAATTGGGTCGAGATATTATATATAAATGTGTCTACTTCTCCTTTTTATATACTAAATTCTTAAATATGCATAATAAAAATGAAATTAAAATTTATATCTTTTCTGTCATACTGACCTACTACTACCTACAGACAGACACTTCACTTTTATAGCAAACTACACAAAATTCTATTACCTTATTTAACAAACATAATTAATTTAATTTAATTTTTTGTTAAAATAAATTATACTTCGGAACATATATTTTTGGTTGTCCAAAAATAGTGACGGCAACCTTAAAAAATTAGTAATCATTTGTCATTGTACAAATTTTAACATATATATATATACATGTATATGTAGTGTAACTATTTTTTACAGCTCTCTATTATAATAAATATACAATATGTACCCATATATATATGGTAGGTGTTATAATACAAATAGTACCGTTACCCCACTCATTAGCATTCTTTAACAAAAGTTATCAATTGCTACATTAATAAATATATATACATATTTATGTATATGTTTATATTTGTTTAAAGCTAAAATTAAAGAATATTTTACTAATAAAACAGTAGCAGTATTAACAGTATTAAGCGTTAGATTTTTTTTAATAGTTTGTTAACATTTTTTTTCATAGTTTTTTGTTAATTGAATTATGAAGCAAGCGATAATTAGTTTAGTTTTTAAGTTAAATGTTAAATAAGTTTTAAATATTAGCGTAAGCAAGCCAAATTAAACATAAACATTTTTTTGTTAATTCAGTTTTAAAATTTAATTGAAAAATTTCACAAATTAAATTTGTTTACAATTTTGATAAAAATTTAATTGATTAATATTTAAAAAGGTTTAACAGACACTGCCGACAATCGATCTTTTAAGTAATACGCAACCATAAAAAAATAATTAATAACAAAATGTTTGTGTTTATGTTTGTTTGATTGCTTTAATTGTTATTTAATATTTTATTTATTTATTATATAAATTTTACAAGAATTACAATTCATCAGTGTTGCTCAACTTATAGTTTAAGAATTAATAACAATTATTAAATTATTATTTAATTGTAATAATAAAATATTATCTCTGTTGTAATCAGATATTGCGTAATCTGAGACATGCACAGAATTGATTTTTTAATCGACAATCGATATTTTCGGTCTAATTCAAGACGGAAGCGAAACAACTTTCGAACTTAAAAACTTCGAAAATTTTTCTTATAACTACGAGACCACAGATTAATCAAAAACTGATATCGGAAACCTTAAAAATGAGGTATTAAAGAAAATAAATGATTTAAAATGATACCAGTAACTCTTGTATCACGAGATTACGTGTCATGGGCACCTTCTACATAGATTCTTTAAGGACCTCAAATAACAAACAAATTGCTATGGGAATTCTCATAAAAGTTTCAAAGAAAAGAAATTATTTTAACCTTTACATCAGAAATTTATGTATCATAGAGTTACTTATTAGATATAGTATTAAGTATATATATATATAGACATAAGTCTTAGTGAACCGCAACCAGTAATCGGTCTACCTGAAAATTGTAAAAGATTCACTCTGATACCTATCAGATAATATAGGAATCATATATTTTATATAGAAGTAAAGACTTTTATGGTCGCTCGTTACAATTACTAAAGCTATTTAAGTTAAATTTTGTTCTGAATTTATTCTTTAAAGTTATTTTAGAAGGTGCGTTTTATAAAATGTACGTTAAAAATTTAAGAAGTAAACATAAATATTACTGAATTAAATAAAGAAATTCCATATAATAATAAGGTGAATGCCTTATGGGATATGTTTTGATTATTTACAAAGTACTTAGCGTTTTTTTATTCTTTAGTATATAGTTATCCCCTCTATAACGCCGTACCCTTATAATATGTTTTCATATTACGCAATTTCAATCCCTCGTATATCACCGGGCATTTCTTCATAAAACGCGGGGATGTGTACAGTTCATAATTAGTTTCGCATACCTTTGCACGTGTGTTTACGGGGTATACGGGAATACCCGTATAACGTGTTTTCCTACAACGCGGAACCAATCTACTGCGTTATAGGAGGATTACTGTATATAACAATTGGTTCTTATTTCTTCCTTTGTGCTACTTGACAGCACTTTTTCGTAAAGAGTAGGTAGAACTTCATTTTAGACAAGCAATACTCAAGTTTTATAAGGTATATCATCTACAAAAATTTTAATGTCTATTGATACATAATCATCGATATCATTACAAAAGTAAGCAACTTAGCAACTTATGTATTTATTTATACATCATCATTGGTATCAATAAAATATTAGAAAAATGTGTTCGATTTCAAGTTACCGATAGACTTTTATTCGTTAAAATTTAAAAAATATATTTTTACTTAAAGTTCTGTAAAATCTTATACCGAAAGTATTTTATTTTTTTTTTAGTTTAACTGAATTTTTTCATAAACATACAAGTAGTTCCTTATTAAAAATTGTACTACTTACTGCTATTCGAATTTTTTTCTTTTCAATAGTTTTAAACTAGCAAAAAAAAAAGTTGTAAAACTATTTTATACTAAGTTGATAGCACATAGTAGTTAAGCACATTAAAAAAGTTTTGAGTTGAAGTTTTAACTTCAAATATAAAATTCTATAAGCAGAATTCGTTATTATACAGGAGTACTACATGATTTTTTTTTTAAATAAAATACTTTATAAATTTTAGTCTTCATACTTTAATCTTGTATATTTGATAACTTAAATGATTAAATTTAAAACAAATTAAAGTTGAGCATCATTGATTAACACAAATGGTAGAGGCTCTTTTATAGAAAAAATGTACAAGGCGATTAAATGTGTTCAACGTATACAAAACAAATGCATCTCAATTAATTATAGAGAATTAAAATCTATGCAAAATAATACATAAATAATAATGTACATAAATGATAATAGTTATAATAATATATATTTTATTACATCTAAGGCTTATAAACAACATGCAATAATGCACAAAATGAAGTGGCAAAAATTAACCAAAAAAAAAATTATTATTAATAAACATATTTAAAAATTATTTTATGATGTTTATGAAAAATAATTAAAAGCATTAAAGCAAGTATGTAATAGAATATATTTGTTTATATATTTAAAATTTTTACATAAATAATTATAATTAAATTTAAAAACACATAAAACACATTGTATGTAAGATTGATAATTAGCTTAAATGAGACACATAAATTATTTATAAATTATATAATTTATATATATGTATATATATGAGTATATATATATATATAAATAGTTATATAAAAATCGTGCATTTATAAAACATTTTCAATTGGTGATTTTTTTTATATCAAAGCTATTAGAAATGATTTTCAACTGGAGGGTTAAATTACTTAAAATTAATATTATTATTTTACTATGCTGTGAACTATTGAACGTGTTAATTACAATCATTTAATGTGGTTAAATGAGGGTTTTAAATTAGTTAAGCTCGTAATTGATGCAGTGGTAGCCAGAAGCAAAACCGCTTTTTTATTTAGTGATTTATAGCAAATTTACTCTAAGCTAAAAATATGAAAAATTAGTATTTAATATAATTAAATAAATAAATTAAAAATTTTGTACAAATGTAAATTAAGCTCTGTTTTATATAATTCATATACTTTCATCCTATCAAAGATACAAATTCAAGACAAAATAACTGTTTATGGGTGGAAACACCATAAACAAGATATTTAAGTAGTGATTAGATAAAATATAGTTTTTAATTAAACTTTACGTGAAGTTTCTTTTTTACATATATTATCAGGAAGTAGATTAAATGCAATCATTTTAGAAAATTTTAAGAAATAAAAGTGCCGCAAATGCATTAAAGTATAGACATAAATGGGATGAAAAATGTTTGATCTAACACTTAGATCGTATGACTGTGACCCCTGTTTTGATTAGAAGTTCCAATGCATATATCATTATTGTTAATAATGTTTGTATTATTATAAGTATATACATTAAAAAAGAAGTAATATACCATTATTGCCGTCACTTCACCTAACCTAATAATTATAATCTCGAAGAAAACCACTTCTTCTAAAGATAAAAACTGTATAAGATATATGTCAAAATTTGGACAATTTGAGAACCATTATATGAAAAATTATAGTGATTTTCATAAAATAACAATTAATATTTTAATAAAAATTGAAAAAGCAGGTCTCTTAAGTTTTTTAAAAGCTGGATCCTGTCACGAATATATTTGCGGAAGTTAAATTATGGTCTGATATATTTTTGGAGAATCCTTCTTTAAGAAAATTAATTGTCATTTCATAATGTGCTGTATTTACATGGCGGCATGCAGATATCGGTGACGTCAAATTTTTAGTAATTAGATAAGGAAATATTAAAAAAAACTCATAACTGTTTTGAATGTCAACAAATTGAAGTTTAAAAGATCGTTGACATGGAGGGATATCAAAAGAACAAATGAACGTTATGGCATGTAAAAATTTATGTATAGAAAATTTTTCTTCACAGTCAATCAAAAGTAGCTATGTAACAATCATAATCATCACTTTTTAATCACATTTTAAATATATTTTAATGCACTAAGGATTTAAGAAATCCTTGTGTAACTATGGCCGAAAAAGTGACTTCGTCATAACGACACTCTAAGACCCAGCAATTACTATATATCAAAAGGATGACAGATATAGCATTAAAGCTGTGAAGCAAAACTGCTAATCTTATAAGAGTAATTGAGACAAGTGTGGAAATAAATTTCTTATAATTGACAGAGAATATTTTAATGAATAAAACTTATTTTGCTCAAAATATTGGGAAAAATTGTGAATGGTGAAACGAGAATCTTTTAAAACAATAACAGAGCTTAATTTTATTTGCCTTCTCCAAACCCAACAATGTACAAACAATAACAATATTAGTTTAAAACTTATTAAAAAATATATTTAAAAATAAAAACCAAATGTCAATAAGATACTTTAGTACTAAAAACAAAAATTAATATAAAAGATAAAACAAAAAACAAAAGGATGTGAATTTAAGAGCGCAGGAAGAAGTAGAAGAGAAAATGGTTTGGTTTTAATGCCAAAAAGTAGACATTCACAGTATGAAACAAGTACATACGAAAAATAGTAAATGTATTATTTTTTAATTTTAATTTTTTTTTTTAAATAATTTTAAATAAATCCGTAAATGGAGCTTTTTTTTCAGTTTACCAATAGCAATGTATGTTTACCTGCTGCATTTGTTGTTCCTGCGCATGTTGTTGTTGATGCTGTAGAAAGTGTTGTGCCAGAAAAGATTGCTGTCGCGCTGCAGAGTTTTGTAAAACAATTACAGATTCAGTCTTCTCGCGTCTCAAACGTAGGAAATCTAAATTTTTAGGTGTCAAATTACTGGTCCAGCTTGATTTGGTATTAGCTGGAAGAATATTCGTCGGAGTGGAAAGATTGTTGGTTTTGCTTTGTTGCTTGGCAACATTGGAAGACGACGATGACGATGACGTTGTTATTGCTGTGTTATTACCGGTGCTTGTGACGGCAGTATCCTTTGGTTTTGTTGTAATATTATCATTTTTATTATTAAAAATACTAGAGCGCTGTATCATGGCGCTGGCACGTTGTGCTTGCAACATTTGTGCTGTTGTTGCGCTGACATTATTGCTGTTGGCCAGCACAGCAGAATGTCTTTTGGTTAGCGGAAAGAAATCGGAATTTTCACGACGGAAACCACGTACAAATGGCAGTTTAGAGTCAGACTCTTGACGTTTGTGCATTTGTTGTGGTTGGGCTTGTTGCAAACGTGTCGTTGCATTTGATGCAGTGACTTTGGTTGCGGCATTGGCACTACGTGTTAAGGCACTTGGTTGGACATTTATTGCTGCTGCTGCTGTTGTTGTTGTTGTAGTTGTTGTCGTTTTATTGGCACTATTCACAGCGCTTTGGCTAATTTTATTATTATTTGTTGTTGCTATTATTGAATGGCGTTGATCTTTGGCTGTATTTGCTACACTTGATGTACTTTGGCTATTATTGTTACTGTTACCACCTTTAAGCGGGGTAAAGCCTTGTGGCGGTGGAGGTTGCTGATGATGTGATTTATGTCTTGGAGACATTTCAGCTACGCTACTACGATGCAATTTCTGTTCTGCCTTTAGCGTGCTTGAATTGGAAACACGATTAAGACTTGTAACCCCAGATTTTGGATCACGTTTTGGAAAGAATTTTTCAAAGTCCAATTCGCGCAGAAGCACAGCTTCCTCTCTGGATTCTACCTGAGGCTGAGCACGGGGCGGCAAGTTGGCACATGAAGTTGAAGCTGATTTTTGAATTCTGTTTTGATTTTCGAGTTTCTGTGTATGGGAATTTTATTTTACAGAGTTGACATTTTTGTTTTGTTGTTCAAGTTACTTATGAAATTTTTGAGAAAAGTTTTCATGAATTTAAATCAATGATTTGACGCGTTAACTAAGTATATGAACTTGCTTGCATATGTACTGATTATAGTAATGGATTTATATATATGTATGTATAATATATATTATATATATACAATATATAAAAGTGTATATATACGCGTGTATTGTTGTGCGCATATGCGATTATAGCATAAGTGCAGAAATAATATACTAAATAATTTATATGCATATTTTTTAATATTTTTAATTTTTAATATTTTATGATGTAAATGAGTTTTTTATACAAATTAAGAGAAAATAGTTTAGTATGATAAATAAATTATAAGTCAAATCAGAGAAAATTAAGAAGCAAACAAATTTTTATATAGCAAAATTCACAAAAAAATTTCTGCATTAAGTAAGTAATAAGTAAAGTACCTAAATTATAAATTAAGATATTTTATTTTATATAGTAAAAATAGTTGCTAATTAAAATAAAATTAAAGTGGTTAAATATAAAAAAATTCAAACGCAATTCTTCTTAGAGCAATTTTTCTTGCATCAATCAATTATTCATCAGTTTTTCTAATAAGAACCACAACCACTTGCTTTCGTATAATTATTATAATGAATGCTAAAAATTAATTTATTTTGATTATTTTGTTTGTTTTTTTTTTGTTTTTTGATTTTAATAATAATAATTTACACCTTTATACCCTAAGAAGTACTTTCGAACTTTACAGCATTTACAATAATTACAATGTATTCTTGTTTAAAGACTTTCATCAGCTTTTCGTTTTAGTTTAGTACTTAAATAACTCTGCGCCACCTAAGCAGCATACATTTGTTAGATGTCCGTTCATCATAACTATTCAAAAAATCACCAATTTCGCAATACATATAACAATATACTTATTTATGAAAGTATTGTTTGTGTATAATAAATATTTTATATCTTAAAAACATGTATATATATCACAAAATTAAGCTAACGACGCTAATAACGTAAAGTTTAACGAAAGGCGCATTTATAAAAATAAAACTTCTTTTGATTATAAATAAATATAAATTTTATAATAAAAAGATTTTTTTGCTTTCTTTGTTAGATAAATTATTTTTCTTGCTATATATAAATTATTACTCACCCGCTTCATGATCAAGGTTCTATCACCAGCTTGATCGTCGTCATCTGGTGTAGGAGGCAATGGGCGATTCGGTGGTCCACCACTACCATGTGTAATTGGTGTGGTCGTTGTGTCTTCAGATACTGGTCCAAGACCAGGCCTATATGAAAATTCAGGACTAAATAAACCAAAATTTCAAACCATAATAACAATCAAACCAACAACAACAACCACAATGAAAATGAAATTAAGTTAAAAGTCAATTGAAATTAAAAATGTGTGTTTAAGAGACACAATATATTTTAGAAAAAATATATTTTTAAAAAATAAAAACATAAAAGAGATGAGAAAAAAAAATATGATTGGTGAGCACATTTGGGATTGATTACAAATTTCAAGCAATAAATACTTATACTCATACCTACACACTAAATCGAAATATAATTTTTTCTCAATTGGGCAGGAGAATGTTCCTGAAGTTAACTTTAAATTAAAGTCAAAATATTAAAAAAAAAATGGTTACAATATAATAAATATTTAAATCTTCTAAAAATAACAAATTAACAACTCAAGAAAATATATGAAGAGAAAATCCTAACAAGAAATACAGATTATTTAACAGTCTTTAAAAAACAAAACATTTGAATTTAATTTTATTTAATAGTTCAATAATTAATTAACATATTTTTTATATATACTATTATTTAGTGCTACTATTGCACAATAATTACTGTGGTAGTGCCGGAATATGGCACTATTATGCTACATAACATACCTACATTTCTGTAGATGTTGGATACAATGATATATAAATCAAAATTGTATGTTATATTGTGTAGTAATTTCATATAAATTTAATAATCTCGTATTAAGTGTAATAATTGCCGAAAATTAAATTGACGGCACTAAACACAAAAAACTTTACTCAAATAAATAATTTAAAATTTAATTTTTTAACATCATTGTATTTTAAATAATAATTAAAACTTTATTCAATAGAAAAGTAATATTGTGCAAACAGCCAACATTTTATTTAACTGTATAATTAATTGCATTTTTTGTCTGACCATACAGCTATTTTGAATATTGCCAATAACCCATCTTCACTAGGTTTTGGTAGCTAGAGACATGCTGCAATCCATAAATTATGTAGTGACTTATTGTTATTAATTAAGATCAAAGAAATATTTCCAAATATCATTAATGATGGGTATTTAGCAAAACCCATACGCAACATCTGCATGGTCACCCAAACATATTAAGGAGGTGTGCGAGTTAGGCTAAGTTGATGCTAAACCAAATGGGAAATTTTTTGGGATTTTTTGCACTACATTATCGGCACAACTTAGAAATTCTCTCATTTAGAACGCAACTTAGCCTAACTCGCACACATCCTAAATTAAATAAATAAAATTTTTGTTGTATTTTCAATAGAATTGTTATATTAGTAACTTAAGCTGTACTCTCTTCAGTGTAAACACTTTTATACAAAACTTTCGATTTAGTGTGTATATGTGATACTATGTACATTAAAATGAAACACATTTATATACTTACAGTGGCTTGGGGGGATCACTTGCTAATAGGGTGCCATCATTTCTTCCACGTTCGTTAGGTTCATCTGGTTCACTATCTGAATCACTGCTATCCAATGGATCTAATGGATTTATAGGTTGTGCATGATGATTGTTTGATAATGGCGGTACTGCAGCAGGTTTCATCTGTGACGATATAGCTGATGACGATGATGATGGTGGGCCAGATTGACGATTGTTCCTTGGTGGTGCTTCTGGTTGTGCCTGTTGCTGACCAAAAGGAGTTTGTGGTTGCGGCTGTTGAGAGACGCCCAATTCATTTAGTTGTGCTGCTATCATGTCCAAATCCTATTTTCGGATTTGTATTTTTTTGTTTTGGATTTTTGATATGTTTGACAAGTGAAGTGAAGGGAATAAATTTTGGTGGTGGTGGTGTGTAGGTGACAGTGATGGTAATTTTTTATTGATTTTTCAACAATTTCAATTTTTTTTTTCACATTTAATAGTAGTGAAATCAATCGTGTGGACAAACAGTAATAATCGTAAAAAGATTGTAAAAGTAGAATTAGAGTGGTTATAAAAAAAAATAATAAATTTAACACTAAATTTCTTTTCAAATATGTTTGATGCAAGCAAGTATTCAAGCAATCAATATATTTTGCATATTTTGCATATTTTGTTAGTTTTTTTTTTAATTTTTTGTTTTTGGAATAATAAGCAACATGTCAGTTAATTGTAAGTTCAAAATAAACGCATAGATGAATAAGTAAATTAAAAAGAAAAAACGTTAATGGATATTTTGTGTAGGAGGAGACCACTCTAACATCTACTATTACATCGAAAATTGTAAATAATTTTAATTTTTGGAATTTTTTCGTGCAAAGGTGGTGGCAGCTATGATTTTGAAAACTTTGTGGTACCTCCGATTTTTTTATGATATGATATGATATGATTATTATATGATTATTATATGATTATTATATGATTATGATATGATTTTAAGCAATATTGGAAATTAAAAGTTGATACTCTCGAAATAAAATTAATAACAATAAATGTAACTAAACATACCTCAGGTCTCCTTGGTGGTAACTGTATAATGATGTGTATATTGTATTAATAGTTGTTGTATCATGTATTTGTTATTATTTGTTATGTTCGTGTACATGTTTTTGTTTTTTTATATTTATTTTTTATAGCAAAAACATATGAAAACATTTTGCAGATTAAAAGAAAAATTATTTTAGCACATTTATTGGTTTGGGGAACATTTAAAGCAAATCCAAATCAGTATTCAATTTGTTTATTCAACATTGTGTTGTAAGTTATTTTTATGTTGTATGTTTATTTTTGTATATTATTTTAAAGTTTGCATGACACAACGCAAAAGGTAACACATGAAAGAAAAAGAAAACACAAATTATAAAATAAAAATTGAAGTATAGGTTACATATATTAAGTACATATATATTTATATATACACAAGTTATATGGGATATGCATAGGGTATATACATTTATAAACGCAAACTGCACATCAAATACAATATACGACATATACAATTTAGTACTCATACGCACCGATGGCTTGAAATTATTTTGCGAATTACGCTGTTGTTGTTGTGGCGTTTGCGACGACGGTTCTGAACTTTTAGGAGTTGGTGGCAATGGGCGATTGGCATGTGGTGGATCTGGTACCACAATTAAACGTTGTGGCAGTGCTGGCCGTGATGGTGGTCCAGGTTCTTCAATTTGTTGCCTTTGATCACGCTAAAATGTAAAAGATATTTTGAAGGTTAGTAATTTGAAGTCAGGGTAAGTAGAGTAATTGAATTTTACTGAATTTACTGGTTGTGGTTTTTGATTGCGGTTAGCTTGCGGCTGTTGTGCCTGGGCTTGTGCTTGCGCTTGTGCAGCAGCAGCAGCTGCAGCTATTTGTTGTTGTTGCTGTTGTTCAGCAGCTATACGGCCTTCTTGTATTTGTTGGAAATTGCGACGTAATGTATCACCACCTGGTGCTTGTATAATAGAGCTGGGCTCGCCAGCAATTTGCGGCTCATCATCATCATTGTCCGAACCGGAATAACGATAGTCTTCGCGTTCCTTCTCTTGCTTTCGTTTTTTGCAACGATCAATGTGATCTTTAAGTTGTATTCGAACATGACGATCTGTGGGTTGATCTTTTATAAATGAATGCTTTAAAAGTTCTTCTGTGTAAGGCCGCTGATGATAGTCTTTCACTATTTTGTTCATATTAAATAAACAAATAAACAGTTAGTTAACAAATTAAATATATATTTTATATGTAATTAATTACCAAGAACTGTATCAATAAAACCCTGAAATTTTTTTGACCACTTCTTAGATTTGAGACGTGGTGGTGAATTACGTGGAATTAAAAACAATGCACGCATTGGATGCAAGTCACATAAAGGAGGCTGAGATTCGGCCATTTCGAGTGCTGTAATACCTAAAGACCATAAATCTGAACGATTATCATAAGTGGCTTCAGGATTCTCATCACAAGCAATAACTTCTGGCGCCATCCAGTATGGGGTACCTTGAATAAAACGTTTATTTAAAGCATTGTAACAATCAATTAAGTACATGAATTTCATTGAATTTATTATTATTTTAGAAGGATTCGAACAGTAATGAAGAGGCAACAACAAGAATTTTATTGATTATTTTCTAAGATCACTGATGATGAGTACATGTAAATTGCGTTGTATGGTCAGCTAGGTTAGGTTAGGTTATACCGGCGATCTCAGGGGGATCCACTTAGGCCTATATGCCCATTGTGATACCGTATTGTTTAGAACCCATGGACTAAAACCATCCAGAACCTTTAATAAAGCTTATGATGCTATATAGAGGGAGGTCTCGAAGTTCGTCAAGATCCTCAAAAAAGAAAGCCCCCAAAAATTTAAGGCGACGCCGTGCATGTGCCGGACAGGAAGAAAGCAGGTGAGAGGCATTTTCGTCATCCTCACCACAACTGCGGCAAAAATGGTTGAACAGTAGATTCAGTCTCCTAGCATGATTACCTATGGTAGAATACAATGACCTGTTAGTAAACCTACTACAAGACTGATATCTCTACGGGACATCTCTAAGAGAGATTTCAATTTTCTATTATTGGTCTGTGGCCACATTGCATACAGATGCCTGCATATCGCAGAGTCTTCCCATCTTTTGTTAAAAAGTTCGGCACAGAGTAAATTTTAATAAATTAATTAATGTTCGAGCCCTTCTAGTTTTCTTGTCGTCATAAGACCTTAACCTTTTATTATTATTTTACTTACCTATAAATGTATTTCTTCTACCTATCGTACGATCCAATTGCGCTGAAACACCAAAATCTACTAATTTCACTTCAGCATTATCTGTTAGTAGCACATTTTGTCCCTTAATATCACGATGGATAACCTTATTTGAATGTAAATAACTAAGACCGCGCAATATTTCGCGGCATATGTATGCAATCCATTCTTCTTTAAGACTTTGTCCTTTTGTTGACTTAACTAAATCGGTAACCGAACCGGCACCACAATATTCCATAACTAACCATAATTGATCATCTTTACCAGGTGGAGATTTCTTGATAAAAGCGCCATAATATGTAGCAATATTGCGATGATTTGAGTATTTTTTTAATACATTGATTTCTAACTTTATTTCTTCCTCCTCGTCTTCGGTGACATCCATCACCTTTATGGCTGCTAATTGACCAGTCTTTGTGTGGCGACCCTAAAAATATAATTGAAACATATAAATTTTAATAGTTATACGATTTATTTAAAACTCTTTAAATAATTAATAATTTACAATAATTAAAAATACTACGTCATGTAGTGAAATTCTGTTGACCTTTATCAGTCAATCACCGTTGAAGCGAATAAAAAAAGTAAATAAATCTACAATCGTGTGATTATACACGCCCCACTATAGAAAGTTAATAATATTTTATTGAATGTTTTAAACGTCAACGTCAGAAGTGCAGTCACCGCTGACATTTGAATTTTCTTGAACTTTTTTATACCATATGTAGGTATGTACTATAAAAAGTATTGCTACATACATAAAGTGCAAAAAACAATTAAAATCAATGTGAGGCTTTTAACTGCATGAACACAAAGTTAACTTATTTATATATAAATAAACAAATAAATCATTTATGAAAAATAAATATATAAAAGTCTTATTTATTTATTGTTTTAAATCTTTTGTTTCAATTGTTGCATAAATGCAAGCTTCTCATACAATAATTTAGCACAAATAAAACTTTTCCCATACATTTTGTAAAGAAAACAACTTAAAAATATAAATTATCTGGTAAATTGAGTTTAGTTTGCTGTACAAAATACAAGTACGAAAAACTAAACTAAACCCATTAAGCAAGCCGTAAATTGTACTAAGTTTGTTCTATTTTGCATTCAATAAAATTTAAAATTTCTCGTCTGACGAGTAAGTAAATTAAGCCATTCCACTTCGGAGCCTCAATCAAGCATTTCATTTCATATTTTGTCAATAGACTTCTTGTATATTTTATGTACCGTAAAAAAAGTATGGAACTTCATTATAAACATCAATATGAACACTGAAGTTTACCGCTGAGTGAAGCCATGTCTCCTCGAAAATTGCCGTAAACCAATTTATAATTGTGGGTTGGAAAATTAAAATGACTGTAATGCAGATGATGCGCCGGCATTGGTGCAGGCTGCGAAAGTTGCATTAAAATTTGTGTTTATTTATCGACAAGACGTGATAATGGATCGATGAGGAAATTAATATATAATTAAAAATAAATTGACTAAAAAAAATCTAAACATAAAAGTTGAATGCAGTTAGTTGGTTTGATTTGAAATTCATAATCAAACAGTTAATTAATAACGTAACAATCAATAGTCATATGAAGTGCAAATTACATTCTCCAAGTAAAATGCACTGACTTATGTATATATATAACGTTATATAGAATAACAAGTATTAAAACGTCATAAATTATCTAAAACAGATAAAATTATTTTGAAATTGCATTCTGATGTAACTAGTGTTGATATTGACATTTTAATTTAAAATTAAAAAAAAAAAAGCTTAAAAATTATCATAAAATATTTCCTCTCTGTTATGAGAAAAAAGACAATGTGATCGACCTGATCTCATTGCACAATTCAGATTAACACAATGACGAGTATTACAGTATTACAGACGAGTACAGGTATATATTTGAGGATAATGAACTTCCATTCTAGAACAGTAACATGTAACAGTTATAAATTTTACAGAGAAGAATGTGGATGACAACTTGAAGAACTTCTGAAAAAGTGAACGAGGATATTAAACTTTAAATTTCGTGGGTGCGAATAATGATGCGGAAGGTTCTTATTTAAACAAAAAGTTAAAAGTAAGAAAACGTATAGTAGTCAACATATATATATAGAGTGCTAAAAGTAGTCTAATATTAAATGGCAGCATTGTGGAAATCCATTAGCTAAAAATAATACTTGGATCTTTACTTACAATAGAGAATTTATTGAAATGTGACATTATTTCCTTAGTAAAAACAAAATGTGAACTACCATAAGTTTTTCTTCTATTATCTTCTTGTTAATAGAATAATATAATTCGATGGTTTTATAATAATTTTCTTGAATATAATAACATTAGAGTATATAAATGCACAAGTACATGCTAATATAATAATATCGAACAAAGAGATTAAAAAATTACAACTTCGACTTTTAAAATATTGAAAACTTTTACAATCTAAAATATCACGAGTTTATATAACTCGAGTACAATAGGTAAATAAACAGAACTGTATGACCAAGACATCGTATAGACCTCAAACGTCCGTAGCGGTAACAGAGTAGTATCTTTAAATGCAGTTAATAACAATACACATTATTTAAAATGAATATATTACTAGCGAACTGAACTATGAGAGATAGTTTTAGTTTTCGAGAGAGCCAAACAGAAACAGAGGATCTGCTCCATGGTTGTTATAGCACTATTGGTGATATTGAGAGATGTTTCAATTTTACATAATTAATGAATAGATGATATTACATTTTTATAGACGGAATGGATTTTTTATAACGCGAAACTTAAAAAAGTATCTATATAGAGAAATCAAATTCATAGAAATAAGCAGGGTAAGTGTTTCCAGGGTATTGTCTGGAAAAGTCACAATCTGTTTCTATCCAAAAACCTGTTTAATTATTTAAAACTATAATAAATGAAAAATTACAGCATATAATCGATAAGTTTTCAATAAAAATAATTTATAAAATATTAAATTTTGATGAATTTAATATTCATGAAGCATTTAAAACATTTAACTAACATTTTTCTCCCGTTGTACATTGTATAAAATAAACTTTGCTATTGAAATTATTCAAGTAAAAATTCATGTTGACGTCAATCAAATAGTAACGAAGCATTTCATTTTTACTACCAATGGAAGAGTTTAATTATTACTTTTGCACTTCCATGAATTCCCAACGCTGAACAATTTAATTATGAATTTGATTAATTCAATATTTTTGCACTCCATTCTCCTTATAAAAGTCGTATTTAAAATAAAAATGCTTTCCATGAATTTGCATAGAGTCTCTGGTCTCTGGTTTCTGTTTGCTATTCATGCTCATTTCCATGATTAACCCATGATATTTAAACTGAGGCATGGTGATGGTCTGCTATTTGTAACACAACAGTTTAATTATCTATATCAAGAGAAGCAAATGGGTAAAGCATAAATTCCAAACTAATTGGTTATTCTGCAATTTAGAAAAAATAAAAAGTGCTTATAGCACCTTTCGATGTTTAGATGTGTGCGACTAGACGAACACACCACACCGAAGCCCCAGAAATTGAATGTTGAAATTAATTTGAAACAGCTGGAGAGGAAATTGTGCAAGCAGATTTTCCTAGATCAGATTAAGGAATCAAGAAAAATAACATAAAATTGATTCATATTGCAGTATTTTCTCTTAATTTAAGCAATTATAAAATAGCAACAAGTGAATTTATTTACATTGTATTTAGATAGTTGCTTAGCCGCGATTTGATTTGATTTAAAAAATGCTATAAAAATTGTTTTTAATCCAATTAACCTGAAAGATTAGAATAATAAAGATTTTTTTGAAATCACTTTTTTAATAAACAAGGTAACGTAATTTTAATTTGAGATGCTGCGTTAATTTTAAATTTAATAGTCCAATATTTTTAAAACCACATTTTTTATAAACTATTATATTTTAATTATTACTTGTTATATTTTACATTAGACGTGCGTCGCATTTTTTAATAAAAAAGAAATTCTAAAGGTGAAAGTAATAAAAATCTGTGGTTAGCTTTTTGCCAGTTTCTCGTAGTTGCATACTAATTATACATTTAATAGATTATAAAAAGACTAAACAATAACTAAATTATGTGAAAAATTAGAAACTGAAATTTAACGGAAAATCAAATGTGAATGGTGAAAGTGCACAGGAAGCTGTATTTTTGTACATAAAACGATTTTATTTATTATTTACAATATATTATCTTTATAATTTCATTTAATAAAATAATTGCTTGTTGTAATAAAAATATAAAAGTATATACAAAGTTTTAGTACTAGCTTTAGTAATATTTTTCAAGAATGGAGATATATCGCATTCAACCCGTACTAGAAAGTACTTAGCCTTTAGACATACTTCGCGTTAGTCCTCAAAGTTTGCGGTGGCTTAATAGCGTTTAACCCAATAAGGGAAATATGAAAGTCCAAGAATGGCATAAATATGGTAAGCGCAGTATTAAAAATAGTAAAAAAAATTTAAGTGGTAAGACAAAGAGAAGCATCTAGATCTCTATTACAACCTAATGAGCAACTTTATTTAATTTGAAATACGTACATTTATAGGTTCTATTGATAACACAATCATAATATATATATAGCATCAGGATCTATTATAATCCATTTTAAGGATGTACTTGTATTATCAAATATATTAAATAATAAAGTTACATATATATTTCATAATTTTGATAAAGAAAATGTTTCACACGATTTTATTTACTAATTACAGATAAAATGAAAGCGATAAAATATATATTGTAAAACAAAATTTATAAAAATTTTTATATCATTTGCTGTTTATATTTCATTAATGGTGTCTTATATTACTTATTGATGTGAGCGACTATACCATCTTTAATTCAACAAATATATTAAGTTATTCTCCGATCGTAAAAATAGCTTAGAATAATTTGTTTATTTTTGTAATGCGTTAAATAAAATAATTTCATAAATACTGAAATAAAAAACCTAGTGAAGTTAAAAGCTATTCAACACATAGCTATTCCGAATATTCATTCTCAAATGAATATTCAAAGAAAACTCAAATTTTTTCTTGAGAAGTTGTATTTACCATAATCGTTAATATTGAAACCTCTGTTAATTAATTATTTTCTTTTAAATACACAACGAGTGAATGGGGATCCCACCCCATTCATTGATTATTACTATGATATAAATTACAAGATGACTGTTACAACGACTCTTTCTAAAGTATCTTTTCAGAAATATCTGACAGTTTCTACGTAAGCTTCAAAAAAATGTCCGCTTTATTAAAGCAATAAGACTATTCTATGATGCAGAATTACGAGACTCGTTAACAATGTCAATTAGCTGAAAGTTAGTTAGTGTGCTACATGCTAACATTTTTCTGGACTATTTATAAAATTTGGACAATTCGATGGAA